ATATATTGAAAATTGAGCGGGAATGGACTGATAATCTCACTAGTAATAAGATAGCAAAAACTCATTCAACTTGTAGTCCTGCTGATTCAAATCATGTTGAATTTTACTATTCAACTCCATATTTAGGGGATGACACTAAACCCTCGTCCACTCCCAACCTCGATAGGCCATTGGACATAAAGGTTTCGAAGAAACAACTTAAAAACAAAGAGAAGCAAACCGGTGTTGATGTATCACTAGATCATCACCACTGGAATCAAAGAATGGAAGTGGAACGACAAAAATTTGAACGGCACGACAAAATTTATGTTCAACAAGAGATAGCATTGGAGCAACATCGTAGATAGTTAGAAATTGAAGAAAGACAGGTGCAACAAACTGAAATGCAGACTGAAATGAAAATCATGAAAACTGACACTACTAGAATGGACCCAATTTCTGCAAAATATTGGAATAGCATGAAGATAGAGATTATGAAAAAGCGGGGTTTTAATTTTTAGTTCACCTTAAATATGTTGCTATTATTTTTTAATTTTTAGTCATTATTTATTATGTTGCTATTATTTATGAATAACTGTGTATTGAAAATATAACTTGAAATTGAAATTGGAATTGAAGTACAACTTGAAATTGAAATTGGAATTGAAAATACAACATGAAATTGAAATTAAGAAAATTATTAGTTGTCATGTCGTTCCCACAAATGCTCGATGAGATCTGACTGCAATTGAGAATGAGTAACACTGTCCCTGATTTGACAATGAGTTTGCATGAAGTTTTTCAATTCTGGTGTATACTCATACGACACTTCTACAGGTGGATTTGCATCACTTCCATCAAAGTCATTGTTACAAATATCTCATTCATCCTCAATGACCATATTATGCATTATTATGCACACTTCCATAATATCTGTAAGTGTTTCTTCATCCCAAAAACGTGCTAATCCACGTACGATTGCAAAACGGACTTGAAGTACCCCAAATGCCCTATCTACATCTTTTCTTGCCGACTCTTGTGCTTTAGCACAATATTTTTTCTTCAAACCTTGTGGACAGGGAATTGTTTTTACAAATGTCAACCAATTTGGATAAATACAATCAGCTAGATAATATCTCATTGTATACTCATAGCCATTAATTATATAATTGACTAGAGGAGCATGACCATTTGCTAATAATGCAAAAGCAGGGAACCTATCTAGAACATTTATGTCATTCAGTGAACAAGGAAGCCCAAAGAATGCATAAGATCTTGAGAAGCCACAGCTTTTAAAATGATTGTTGGTTCATGACAATGACTAGTATACATACCTTGCCACGCGGTAGGACAATTTTTTCACTTCCAATGCATGCAATCAATACTCCCTAACATGCTTGAAAAGTCACGTTGTTCCCCTGTTTGTAGCAATCGAGTAATATCAATATTATTTGGTGACCTCATGTAATGGTCGCCAAACACTGTAATAACAGTTTTTACAAACCTTCTTAGACTCTGTATGACAGTGCTTTCTCCAATTCTGATGTGTTAATACACAGAATCTATTGGTGTTCCATAAGCATGAATTCTATAAGCAACTATTATCTTTTGAAGGGATGACAAACCAAGAACTCCAACGGCATCTGTTGTTTGGATGAAGTATGGATTGAGTTGTTCAACCTCATTTACAATTCAGAGAAAAAGAGGATAACTCATTCGGAACCTCATACAGAAAAAACCTTCATATACACAAGGGTAACAAAATAGTCACGATAGAGTCTTTCGTGACCTTCAAATCTACCACGATTAACTATTCTGTGGCCTAGAACGGAACCACAATCCCTTATTATCCGTCCCTGACTAGACCCTTCTGACATTCTAGTTGCAGCATACAACATATCCAAGTCATCATTATCTTCTTCTTCAATATTGAGGATCTCTCCTAAAATATTAGGATAACGATTCATATAACTTGATGAATAAAAATATGACAGGATAAATAGTCAAAGAGAAAAGATATATTGAATTTATAGAAAGAATGTAAGATAGATGGATCAAAACATGAGAAAAATGATCATATTTATAGACGAATTATACTTTTTTAATTTTTATTTTGGCGGTTAAATTTTCAAATTTGAAATTTAAAATTTGAATTTCGGCGGACAAAATTTGAAATTTGAAATTTTGTCTGCCGAAATTTTAAATTTTAAATTTTTACTATAAAAATATATCCATTAAATTGCGATCGTTATGAAAATTATACCCGTTAAAATATAACCGTTAAGTTTAATTATATTTTTTAATAATAAACATTGAAATATTAAAATGGCACCCCATTTTGGCACCTACCATTGGAGCAAAAACACTGTTCAGAGGTGCCAAAACACTATTCAAGATTGCAAAATGCCATTTAGCACCCCATTTTTTGCAACTCCCCTTGGAGTTGCTCTTAGAATGGCCTAAGCCCTCAACACCTATGGCTCTTCGTGGTTTCTTGGAACTCACAGGATACTACCGTAAGTTCATTGACAGGTATGGAGAAATTGCAAGGCTTCTAACCAATATGTTGAAGAAGGATTCCTTCTAATGGAATACTTAGGCTGAACAAGTTTTTGAGAGGTTGAAGCAAGCAATGACTCAAGCACCGATATTAGCTTTACCTAAGTTCAATAAGCTTTCATTGTGGAGTGTGATGCTTCAAGATTGGGAGTTGCGTAGTATTGATTCAAGACAAATGTCCAATAGCTTTTTTCAGCTATGCCTTGCAAGGTAAGAACCTAGCTTTATCTACTTTTGATAAAGAAATTTTGGCCTTAGTTCTAGGTGTACAAAAATGGAGGTCATACCTCTTGGGGAATCGGTTTATTGTTAAAACTAATCAAAGGAGTTTGAAATATTGGTGGGATCAAAAGGTAACCACAGCGGCACAACAACGGTGGCTAGTGATATTAATGGGCTATGACTTCTTGATTGAATACAAGCAAGGAATCGAAAATGTTGCAACAGATGCATTATCGAGGAGGATTGATGGTGGAGAAATATCGGCAATTTCTTAACCCATACCACAGTGGGTAGAACCAATCAAGGAAGCAAATCAGCAAGAGCTGGATTTACAACATCTGATTCAACGGGTTCAAGATGACGAGGCAGTCAATCCATGGGGATATTGTGGGGGCATCCTTTTCTATAAAGATCGTATTTATCTAAGAGAAGGATCCCAACTCATTCCTACAATAATTTCTGAGTTTCACGTGAGCACTCATGAAGGGTATCATAAGACTCTTCATCGAATTCAAGCTGTCTTTGTTGGAAGGAATGAGACACCAAATCAAGGACTACATCAAACAATGTGATACAAGCCAACGCCACAAATCATAAACTGTTTTACCAGCTGGGCTATTGCAACCGTCGCCTATTCCTACATAGGTTTGGGTAGACATTTCCATGGATTTCATTGACGGACTTCCCAACTCGAATGGAAAAATGATTTTCTTTGTGGTGATTGATCGATTATCTACGTACTCCGATTTTGTTCCAGTTTCTCATCCTTACACTGCTACAAGCATAGCACAAGTATTCTTCGATCAAATATTTAAATGACATGGCATGTCGTAGTCCATTGTTTGTGACCGAGATCCCACATTTATAAGTGCCTTCTAGAGGGAGGTATTTAGACTAAATAGAACTAAATTCAATTTAGTTCATCATACCATCAATAGACAAACGGGCAAACGGAGGTGATTAATCGTATAGTTGAAATGTATCTCCGATGTTTTACAAACTCCAACCCTAGAGATTGGGTAAGATGGATCCCTTGGTGGATACAACACTAGCTTACATACTTCAACCAAAAAAACTCAGTTCGAAATTGTGTATGGATGTTTACCACCCACTCTACTCTCCTATGTTCCGAGCACTACAAAGGTAGAGGCAGTCGATAAAGTTTTAGCAGAACGTGATCAGATTTTAAGGGAGTTGTGTAATCAGTTGAAGGAATCTCAAAATAGAATGAAAAGGATTTATGATCAGCACCATCAAGAGAGAAAGTTTCAAGTGGGAGATTGGGTTTACTTAAGGCTCCAACCGTATTGACAATCCTCAATGGCACTTCGGAGAAACCAAAAGTTATCAACCAGGTTCTATGGACCTTTCCAAATAATTGAGAAAATAGGGTCTATAGCATATAAGCTGGACTTACCAACTAGCTCAAGGATTCATCCAGTGTTCATGTGTCGGCTTTGAAGAAAAAGCTAGGTGAAGGCTCAACTGCACCAGTGACTCTTCCAGTTGTGAATGAAGAAAGTGAATCCTTAATTTCATCACCATAGGCCGTTCTGGATCGAACAATTTGTAAGCGACGAATTGAAGTATTAATTCATTAGCAAGGTCTTTCTCCAGCAAAAGCAACATGAGAAGATTTAAAAGACGTCAAGTTTCAATTCCCAGTAATTGCCCATGAGGACAAGGGCATTTTTCAGGGAGGAGTTGTTGTTTCGTGCAACTGAAGTTCAAGGAATCAATGGGTTTACTTGATTAGATAAATGTATCTATTTTTCAGCTGTGGATCTTATTCAAAATCTTGGCCCCTCGTTGCTGTTTGGTAGTTGGTAAAGAGAAATAATGTGTGCCATTAAGGTTAATCTCTCCCTCAACGGAAAGTAAAAAGATAAGATATATACAATTTTATTCACAAAACTACGGCAACAAGAAAAGCAAAAAGGCCCAAAGGGCCATAGAACTAATTATTCCTACCATTCAATCCCTGCTAAAGTTCCATCACCCAAAATAGATATCCGCATGATAGTCTGCATAACAATAGGGACGGTAGAGGCCATTTCAAGAACAGACCCCGAGGAGACACAAATTTCAGTTACTCTTAACATGTAAAGTCTACGAAACAACTACCAAAAAACAATAGCCTGGCAAATGCCAATGTATTACAGTCAATTGACAAACTGCCACTGAAAAGAAAACGAGCGACATAACGAAATATGTAAGAAATGCATTTGAGGAGAAAGCCCAAAACTTTGTATATATAGCAAAATATCTTCACAAAATATTGCCAACAAACAGGGCACCAAATGACAGAGAAATATCTCAAATTACTCTTCCTTTGTCGTTACAGTATAGGAGTTTTGACTTTTTGAGTACTTCTCGTCATCATCATAGAGGTATATAGCAAACAATTCATCAAAAGTATGATAACCCACAAAATATGTGAAAATGCTGCGAGATAATAGAGTCTCGCAACGACAAACAATACTTTTATATAACATTACTTTCTCTATATCAAATGAACATAGTTGTTTTTTTTTTTGGTCAGGAATGAACATAGTTCACCATCCATCAATTGTGCATGATGAACAAACTACCGCCTCAAGCTCTCCACTATGTAATCTGCATAGAGATCCCTTCACAGTAAAAGAAAAAAAAAATCAGATTGGGATGATAATCCATGCAGGTAATATTGCTAACCAGTAAGTAACTAGCTCAAGTTCACTGAAGAGAGAACGAAACATTTTTGGCCAGAGCGGACCAAAAATGACCCCTTCCCACTTACATGATGGAGCCGATAGCAGTTGTTTAACAGTTGTTCAGTGACAGATGATGTTGTCGAATTGGTTCTTCAATTCTTATGCTAAGTGAGGGGAAAATATAACGAACATGGAAAGGCAGGAAAAGCCCATCACTTACATGGAATGCTGGATTGCTTCATAGGCCTTTGAGGCCGGGAGGAAATCATTGACTGCAACTTCCTTGTTCTCATTCTTCTTGTCTGAGTATTTGTTCAGGGAAAATCATCAAATCTATACTTCCGGTTTGCATACGTTAACAAGAAAAAAAAAAAATTTCATCCACACCCCCTGTAATTAAGTCTAAATTCAACAACACCCTCTCCCAATTCTGAAACTTCGTTGTCATCCCCTAGCTGTGTTTGTCAAGTTACCATGTTAACGGCAATTGTTAATTTATAGAAATACTGCGATTTTTAATTTATAAAAATACCCTTGAATATTTTATAGGGTAAGTTTTATCCACTCCTTGCAAATAGACATAACTTCAACTACACCCCTTATAAATAAACCTATCTTTAACAATACCCCTCCCAATTCTGAAATTTTGTTACACTCTTTTTAGTTCTATTATATTAACCTTTAAGTTCATCAATTTAATATTTAATTTTATCAAATTAAAATCTTTTATTTAATTTAAACTAAATTAACATTTTATCTCATCAAATCAACATAAATTGATTTTTAATTTTATCAAATCAACATTTAATTATATTAATTTAATATTTTATTTCATCCAATTAATATTATTTCTTTAAATTAACATTAAATTATTATTTAATTTCATCAAATCAACACTAAATTGACATTTAATTTTATTAAATTAAAATTTAATATATTAAATAGAATATTAAATTCTATTAATTTAACACTTAACCTTATCAAATTAATGTCAATTATTTAATTTAACACCAAATGAGCATTTAATTTCATTAAAACAACATTTAAACTTATTCAATTAATATTAATTTTATCAAATCAACACTGAATTAATATTTAATTTTATTAAATTAAAACCAAATTTATTCAATTAATATTAAATTTTATCAAATAATATTTAAATTTTATATATGAAGAATAATGTGTAAAAAAATAGTTAGATGTGTAAAAAAATAGTTAGGTGACGTTTTGGAGAATAGACGATAAAAGAGGAGTTAGAAATGGATGAGATTTTGACATTGACTTTATTGATTATAATTTTTATTATAGAAAAATTATTTTTAACTATAAAAATTGTAAAAACTCAATTATGTAACCAAATGAATGATAATATGATGATCAATATTATAAAAAAATTATCATGCAATGCTTTAAAATGATAAAATTTCATTAGAATAATATAATGATAGAAATCAGTCTTACTAGTTAGCTAGAGCATATATAATGGGAAAAGAATTGTGGGCATTTTAGTTAATTTACATAACAAAATGTAATTTTGACATTTTCACAAAATATTTTGTCAAATCATTACTTTATCTACCAGTAAAAGCAAAAGTTACTGTTAATGGAGTGTCATTGATTTAAAAGTATAAGAAAAAGGGTATACAGTGAAATTTTAGAATCGAGAGAGAGTACCATTAAATTTATATCTAACTACAAAGGGTATAGATAAAAAATTTTCATATGTGATGGAGAAAAGGTTGAAGAAATTTTAGTCTATTTAAAGGGTAGTTTTGACATTTTTCAGGAAATATATAGTTAAATCATTACTTTATTTACTAGCAGAGTCAGAAGTCACAGTTAAGAGGGTGCCTTTGATTTGAAAGTATAAACTAGAAGGGAGTGCAATGAAATTTTAGAATCGGGAGAAGGTGTCATTGAATTTAAACCTAACCAGAGGGACTGTGGATGAAATTTTCCAAAAAAAACCCAAAAGTTAAGAAGCCTACAATCTTCGAAGAAGCGGCGGATCTCCGCCAAACGATGTGGTGGGAGCTCCTTGATGTCCGTGTAGTGTCGATACTCAGGATCATCGGCACATACTGCAATTATCTTGTCATCTTTTTCTCCCTACATTCTGACAAAATCAAAAATTTGTTTGAAGGGTAAAACAAACATTAGGCTATATATTGGGGCACATATACCTGATCAATCATGGGCATGAGGCCTATTGCTTTAGCACGAAGAAAGCACCCAGGAAGAACTGGTTCCTGTATATGATTGCAAAGCCCCATAAGTATTAAGAGCACAATTCAAATTCATAATAAGCCTCATCTCCAAAAACCTTACTTAAAGCAACTAACACAATTTAACATAGGAAGGCACGAAAAATGAATAAATATTTACAGATTCTAAATACATATTGGTTAGTTCACTTGGTATATGGATACTGGCTACAAAATAGTCAAAGTGGCTGGCCTTTTTTGGTTTGGAATGGGGGGGGGACTGTTTCCTGACTTTACGGATAATGGTCCAATGCCATTTTGGTTTAGAATTGTGGCCTCCAATATTCTATCCTTGGGAGGTTTAGAAATATTGTGAGCTATGGCAATTTAATGGATGAATCACTACAAACACAATGGTAAATTGATTGGTTTTTGGAGCACTTTATGGAAGCCAAGCTTTCAAAATACAGATGGCATCCTAAGTAGAACACGGAAGGATATTCTTCCATTCTGGAACTTATTTTGGAAAACAAGAAACTTATAATTTAAGCCAGTTTGTCACTAGGGAAAACAAGAACATGTAAAAACTACTTGATTACACTGTTTTTCTTTACAATTACGGCCCCCCAAGTGAATATCCAGTGTGGATGTATCATAATGCCTTATCTCCCTGGTGATGTTAAATTTTCTGTCAATTTGTTTGTTTCATTTTAGATGTTTTGCAAATCAGTCACTTTCTCTTCAGACATTGTGAGAATGTGAATATCCCATCATGCTCAATACCAGATGAAATGTAAGGGTTAATCCATCACCATAAAGGCCTAAAGAGAACCTTTTTGGTTAACTAGCAAAACTATGCATGAATATATTGATGTTATCCAATGATTTTAACTTCTGGAAATTAGATGATAGGTGGAAGTTATACTTGTGACATAGTTCTTGCCAAAAATAGACGCAGTAAATCCAGTTGTAGTAAATGCATCCTCAAAATTACAACCAGCTACTAATTGAAAATTAGATATTCACAAAGAACATGCCTGCATAATAACCAAGACATCGAGTGGATCATTGTCCTCGCAAAGAGTACGAGGGATGAAGCCATAGTTGTGCGGGTACACGACTGATGAGTAAAGAACACGATCAACCTACAGATGCGTACACATTTCAGCAACTCATAGCATTAAACAGTTTCACAAAGAAACTGACTTAGCATGCTTAATTACCTTGATCAGCCCAGTTTTTTTGTCAAGTTCATATTTCACCTTGCTCCCCTTACTAATTTCAATCACCTGCAGATTTTATCCATGTTAATACCAGAACTATGGCCATATGAAAACACCAGTTGTTGACAATCATGTACAAACATTTTATGGGGCGATTAAAAAGGCAAACTGCAATAGCTCAAAACTAGAACACTTACATTTGAGGACAATAACACAAAGTACAAATCTAACCAGACCATGTACTTATATCCATAAAAGACTTGCAACTTTCTAGGAACAAAGATTAAAGGTCAATATGTATTTACGATAGCTCAGATGGCCCAGTGACCATTAGATGCCCTTTACTCTTTTGGAGCTTCAAAAAACTAGAATTAATATGCCATGTCGTGTTGTACTTAAGCGAGAACAGAAAATAAATATCTTTAAGTCTCTGTATGTCAGGAAGTGCACGCAGTTCAAACAAGATCATCCAAGAATATCCAGCCACAGAAGAAGAGGAAAATAATATCAAGATAGTAAACGATAACTACAGCTATGATATAATGCTGTAGGCCACATGGTCAATCAATCACCCCAATTGCATTCTATATGTTCCACATTAAGGAACTCAGACCCTCCAGCAAACTGCTAATAATTGGCATCTAATTCTTATAGAAGTTTTCAAAACATTAAAAATAGAGTCAAACTTCAACTCACCAACATATCCAACTGATACGAGATACCAGAAAACAAATTGTTTCAGATTACCAAATAGAATCAGTCTCCCATCAATAGATGTCCAAACTCCAAAAAGAAAGACGAGAAATACATTATTTACAAGTCCTGCCCACTGCTATCTATGAGGACATATAAAGGATAATTACGATTCATACTTCAGCTTTGCCAAAGCTAACATTTCCTATGACCATCCTTGAGTGCTGCAGATGACTGCATTGTTTTAGCTTCAAATAATTTGTTGGAATACCTATGCACATAAAAAACTATTTTCATGCAGAAAAAAAAATTTGGCCCGACATATATGAGGAGGAGTATCTTACACAGTTGAAAACAGTTGGGGCTCCAGGTCCTGCATCAAATATTAAAGTAGGTTAGACGAAAACATGGCCCCCCGTTAAATAAGAAAACATACACTAGAATTGACCATACTTGGCTTAAAATAAACTTAAATACCTATCTCAAGATCATGCCAAGGATGTGCAGCAGTTGATCTCCTGGTCATGGATGAAAGTATCCTTTCATTAAGAGGTGGCCGTGAGGTTTGACGAGAGCCAGGAGCCTTAGTCGGAGTCTCAATAGGAACAAACTGAGACTCAGAATCTTTAGTCAGAGTCTCTATAGGTGGGGTCATGACTGCAAGCTGCACATGAAGCAATAAATTAGAAAAGCCGATTGTATATTTTTTTAATATACCAATAATAAATTTCTATTCATTAGCAAGCTATAGCATACAATATCGTATAAGAAAAATCGTCACACCTGACCTTGCATAATATACTACATCTTACATATATATAGATATTCAAAATGGAGAGACACATGGTAGTAAACAACTTCCAGATCCAATTAAGGTTAAATTTACATCCGAGTCCCATAATAATCTGTTATCCCATAAATGCATTCATGAATTTTCTGAAGGCAATATCAGTTAAGCTAAGAACATTAAAAGAACATGACTCTCCCAACATGTGTTTCATGTAACCAACAGGAAAAATCGAAAATAAGATAAAATGCATTTTGTCTGGGTAACAGGAAAAACTTCATTGCACACACCAACACAATGCTATATACTAGTGGAAAAAAAAGGAAGAACTTTCAAGTAAAACCCAATGGAAAGCTGATATCAAGTAAACTAGTAAAATTAGATGTTTTTATTAGATCTTAGAAAGTAATTTTCTTTATTAATCAAAGAACAAGCAATAGCAACATTAAGTTACAGAATATTGTAGTATTAAGAGTGCATTAGGCCATGTACAAGTCCAGGTCTAATTACAGAGACAGCAGCTGTAAAACCAGATTGAGACAGATAAGAATTTTTTTTTTTCAATTGGATCTTTCAAGGGCAGAAACAGTTCTTTTGATTCATTCATGTACTTGGAGATAACTACCACTATCACGTATTCAAGTAGGTGATCGGAAAGGTAGAGAGTGTCTGAGTGTGATGACCATATAAAATCCAAGCTTATTTTGTTGTCTTTTTATTAATGTGGTTTTAAAGCACTGTGGGAGTTTTATTGAGAGATGTGACCTTGTGTGAGAGTGCAGGTTGTTTAAGAGATGTGGTTGTGGTGAGTTCATAACGACGATCGTTATCTTCCATATGTTGGCCGTACAAGACTCCTACAATATCTGTTTTGAGATGCTGTATTGCTTGAGGCATTTTACTAGCCTGCTTCCGCCATTCTGTATGTGCTGATTTGTTCTTTTTTTTTTTTTTTTGCTGGCTAACAAATAAGCTCAGAATAGGATTGAATCCCATTTGATACATTTTCCTCCCTTTCCCCCTTTTTTCCAGCTTTTCCACAAAAATTAAACGGAGTTTCTCATAGATCTACTAAACTCAGAACGGATAAAACCTTGAAAAGGTTGAATCGCCGAGTATATCACAAAACAGAGCAGTTTTAAACGATTCGAAAACTACAATATGAATTTGCACTGAAATAGCATCAGTTCCCTTAATAGCGGAAACGGCCATCACCTTGTAATGATCAATACAGACTAAAAATTACAAATGTGGGCGAATAAAAAATGCATTTAGTCTATGTTATGCGCATGTAGAACAATACACGAATCTAGAACGAAAACAACATCAAATTGAGCTAAAAAAGAACTTGAAATGAACTGCAAAAACCGAAGAAAAAACGATCCAAAACTCGGAAACTGAACATAAAAAGTACCTGATACGATTCAAATCTGATCAGAGCCGAACGAGACCGGCGGTGGCGAAAACTCAGATCTCGATGTGAGAGATAATAAGCGTGAAAATTAGGCAAGTGGAGAGAGATATAAAGAGAGAGCGAGAGAAAGTGTGGGATAAACCCTACAGACAGAGATAGAGAGGGGCACACTATACTGGAGGAAAGAAAGAGCTGAACCTAGCTGAACCTATACGCATTCCCGCTGTAGTTTCCACCTTCGCTATTTAAAAGCACCTCCTCTCAAAGGAAAAGGAAAAGGAAAATGGAAAATGGAAAATTTCTTACGTTTCCTCTCTCCCTCTCTCTCTCTCTCTCTCTTCCTGTGGAAAAAATGCCATATGGAATCAGGAGATTCTCTGGGGAACGAATAAGCCGTGAATCGACCTTTGCTTTGGTGAGACGCTTCGAACTGAGATTGGGTGATTTTGGTGGGACCAGGTTGGCCCTAACGGAGACCGGGACGGAATGCCTAACGGTCGTTTGTGGTTCAGTTTTTAGGTTGCTTTATCGTAAACGACGGTGACAAGTCAACGTTACGGACTCATTTTGTGGGATTCGTGAAGGATATTCTATTCCACGGTCCTTTGTGCCGGTCTTATTCGATTGGTCTCCTTTGGAATTGGAATACAGCGGACGAGATGAAAATTGATCTTTTATCCTCCATAGTTTTGGTAATTATTTTAGAAGTAGTAACCAGAAAATACTATATTTTTTCTTTTCATCTAATAAAAATATGATATAGGTTAAAAATTTAGGCCAATTACACTTTACACTCAGAAAGATTTTAAATTTTTACATCCTAAAAGATTAAATTTTTCACATTACACATTTAATGTATCAAAAGTGTTGCAATGTGACAATTTTATTAGTTTTCTGTTAATTTTTTTGTCAATATTAATGAGTTGACTTTTGACAGAATAAATAACATAAGCTAAAACTAATGTCATAGTCGGGTTCTTTTTTTAATTGGTCGTACTTTGTATAAATAAAAATGTTGATTTTCTTGTATGAAACAAAACAAATTTACCTTGCATTCAAAAAATTGTTAGTGGGTAGCTTAGAATATCATCTTAATCTTTTGACTAACATGTCTCAACTCTCTTTTTATTTCTCAATGTGCTGTTTTGAACACATACAATTCTTCTAGTCCTATTTTCTCACCATAAATTATTGAAACATTGATCCAAACAATTAGTAACTTACATTGATTACGTGGCTTCACCCTTTTGAGACTAATGGAAACTAATGGATTCAAATAATTTTGTCATGTCAAATCACTTAAAAAATATTCAAACCTTTTATTATTGTGTCGTGTTAACGCTCTTAATAAAACATTTTATAGACGTAATTCAATTATGATTTGGATCCTCTTGGACTATGTGCGTTTACTGAACATGTTTGAGATAAATTTGGATTACCAAAGCTTCAATGACACCATTTGTCCCCCATTTTTAGATCAATTAACAGTTCATACTTGGTTAAGATAATTATTTTTCGATTGGCCTATAGTTTACTTGTTATCCTAACTTATCCTAAACAACAAGGACAAACTAAATCAGATAAAACTTGAAAGAAAGCATTAGGATTTTTTTGTGCTTTTCTTTTTTTAATTATCTCAATGCAAAATGGTCATTATGTATCGATGAGAAACCCACTAAGTCAAGGATGTATTCATTTTTAGTACCCAAAAAATAAAATAAGTGACGCGGAGACCGATTGTGAATTGTATAAGAAGCCGCGTTGAAGCAACCACTAGCAAAACTTGGACCCTCTACTTGATCAAACAATTGAAAAAAATAAATAATTAGACTAGTCTATTTTTTATTTTTTTGGGTTTAACGATTAAGGATATTTTGATCAGTTTATACATACTTTAATTAATTTTTTTTCAGTTCAGTCAAAAACAAGTTATTCATGTCATAACTAATATATTTATAAAAAATAAATCTTTTATAGCATGAGTCTAAAATATTATTAAAATTTAAAATCGAGACAAATCTATCTTTTACATGTCCTATGAGCGAGCGCACCACCTAGATAAAGTTTGGCTGGCACGTTTTGTTGACTTCTAGAAACGTACGCCTATAGGGACTTTGTATTAAAGTAAAGTAATCCAAATCCTAATGGTAAACATTTTTTGGCCTTGCGTAGACAGTTCCAAATTGATATTTACATTGACAGGGACAAACATTTTGACCAATTACTTCTAATTCTAGAACGGTTGTGACCCGATCAAAGAGAGACTTTATAGTAACTCTAAAGCATATGCTTATGTTATTGTTCAATCTACATATAATACCTAACACTATAATGTGTGAATCTTCGACTATTAGATCCACTGGGTTACATTTTTCACTCAAGAGTAGATCATTTATTATTGATATACATTGGATCTATTTGGAGTTAGTTTAAATAGGTAATTTTTAAAGATTTTAGAGTAAAATAAGTTAGATATGTTTGGACTTTTGCTTTTTTACCAACTTACGCAGTAGTTTTTTAGACTTGGAAGTTTTATTTAGTTTGATTAAGCTAATTTATAAGGTTTTCTTCTGATTTTTTAGAGTTATATCTTTGGGTTTACATAACTTTTAGTTTATTATATTCATAAAATATTATTAGTGACGTAAAAGAATTAAAATTCATATTTTGAGAATTATTACGTATAATCTATCTCTCTCTCTCTATATATATAAATAATTATTTTTTTTTTGACACAAAAAGTCAAAAAAGCTCTAAAGTTACTTTAAATGGACTTTTTCAAAATTTTTGATCTTTTTACAAAACACCCCAAACAATTTTGAAATTTTTTTAAAATTTTGATTTTTTTTGCGACGTTTTTCAAACCATAACTTTTCACCTGAACAAAATCAAATCCAAACAAGCTCATTAAACGAGGAATGTTATTGGGACATATTTTGAGGATAAAATTTGGAGACTTAATAATTCTGACTATTAGATTGTCAGCAACTCCTAATATTAAATTATCAATGCGTCTCAACATTATCAATCTAATAATTACGTTGCATTAAATTATTAAATTATGTTTTAATAACATCGGTGAAAGCGTAAATAAAATGATCTCAACCTACTTTTTGAATAGTAAACACACCATACACGGAGTTTTTTTTGGTGATTTGAACTATAACAAGGTCCTGATAGAATATATTCACCGTTTTTTCAAGATCTACCATTCTACTTGTGTATTAGTTGACATAATAGTCTACATCATTCTATTCAAGAAGCTGACTAGGTGACGTGGATTTGTCAACCTCAAAATATTCTTGAGCGTGTGGGGCGGGGTGGGTGCACATTTTTAGATCTTGATTTCTTATTGTCGGGCGTTAAAATATTGATAATTTTATGAATGTCACAAAGAGGAGAAGAAAAAATTGAAAATTGAACGACTCGTTTAGTTTGCGTTTCAAAAAATAGTATATAAAAACTTTCTTTTAAAAGAGATTTCAAAAATTCGTTTTAGTGTTTTTTGTGTCGCAGAACTTATTTAGTTGTATAGTTCCAAAAACTATTTTGCAGAACAAAAAACAAAAAACATGTTTGGACAATGAGGCAAAAAAATAATGAAAACAGAGATGATGTTTGAATTGAATGTTTCACTAGCAGACCATTATATTACAAATTATAACATAATACAGACCATTGTTCGTACATACAAGCTCCACATTATATTACAATAAGAGAGGTACTCACCTATCCGTCATACTGATCACAAGTACAAACAGTAAAAACAATATAACAAAACACAAAATGACATTACACCCATATCATAAACAAATGAGCCAACACTTACAATGGACAACTGGATCCAGACGGTGTTGGTATTCATCAACCCCAAATAAATGTATTCCTATGGTCTTTACCAAATTGACACCTATAAAAATAACGGTCATCATTACTCACCATACGAGCTCTGAAAACCCTCATGTGGCCAGCACCACATGCGCATAAAGGTTCTGTATCACTATCTATGTGCTCTACAATTTATCAAAAAAAAAAAGAAGTGAAATTCAAATACCTGTAACATGTATTCCACTCAACAAAATACATAAATGAAACACAACTATGCAGTTTATGTCATCACACATAAATATGATATCCAACATAAGTAGTGTTTCATATTATAAAAGTAATAACGAATGAAATTGTAGGTGGACAACATACAAATAATATTACATAGCATCCATGTACTAGTAATAACACTTTAATATTTTTAATATTAAGTAATGGCAATCTACTAGTAATAACACTTAAATAACATGAAAGTTCAACCATCACGAGAAACAACACCCCACATATTCGCGGCCATTGTATCCCTCAAGTGCAACATAGCATTGAGTTGTGTTGATGACATGTCTAATTCAATCAATCGCTGATGGTTAGAACTTTGGTCATTATCTAATGGGACATCTTCACATAGAAAACGCTGAAAGTAAATGTCACGTGCTGAATGCATACAAACAAAATTATGAATTGCACAACAAGCTGTTACAATGGTTGGTTGGTGTGCAGGTTTGTATTTTGACATTGTATTTAAAATAGAAAATCTCGCTTTCAACACGCCAAAACATCTCTCAATAACATTTCTCAAAGAAGAATGTTGATAGTTGAATAGCTCTCTAGGTCCACGTGGTGCACGTCTGTTACCACTACGATCAGGAATGTGATATCTCTCGCCACGATATGGCGAAAGAAACCCAGGTATGTTTGTGTAGTCTGCATCCACCACGTAGTAGATCCCTAATCCAAAACACATTGTCAACATTAGTTAATATCATTGCTTTAATTATATGAATGAAATCAATATACACACACCAACCTTCTGGCGGCATAAGAAAGTTGACTTCACCCTTTGTTATTGCATCCATAAAAACACGTGAATCATGCGTAATACCTTCCCAACCAGGCATGACAAATACAAACTTCATGTCAAAAGAACAAGTTGGCATCACATTTTTGGGTAATTGTTGTTTTTCGACCACGGTATGCTTCATCCTTAGAAGTAGGGACCCATGCATCTACATAAGTATCATCGATTGCACCTATACAATCCTACATTTATAAAGTGTGTTTTTAGTAGTATAATAAAATTTATTGAACATGTATAGTAGATGGTACCAACCACCATGGATAGTATCGTTACCTTAAACCATGGATAGTATCATTCATCATATAATATCTCAGGTAGCGTTTCGTATGGAAGTTGTGGCCGATTTATAGACACCCCTAGACTGGCTAATGCACGCATAACATTCTTAAATTGTCGATTGATAGTTTCAGTTGAGTGTTGAAATATCTCAGCAATAAGTCTATGTCTAACACTATGTGAAACTGTAGTAAGAACATAGTCACAGACTCCTCAATTGTCAAATGGTTGTAGTAGTCCTCTTGTATGTGACCACCATCACGCAGTGTTTTACACAATGCAAGGAATGTATCGACATCCATCCGTAGACAATTATATATGCGTGACAGATTTTCATTCAACAATTCCATAATTCATTCACGGCCAGTTAAAGCAAATGTCATGCATAGTGTTTTGAACAAACGGTTGTTTGCATATGGGAAAATTATATTGACAAAAAACATATAGTCCAATTCATCATCTAAGTTGCTTGATGAGCTAAGTGAGTCATTACTTGAGTAGTCAACAGTATTTTCTATTGTAACTACAAACATAATATGAACTCACTATTACAATGCATAAATACCACATCAATAATAACAATGATATGCTTGTAACATATTCAAAACTCACAAAATTAAACATGCTACAAGTACCACATCAATAATAACAACGATATGCTTGTAACATATTCAAAACCCACAAAATTAAACATGTTTCAAGTACTAGATCATACCACAATACTAATAATATTATTCCATAATAATAAGTCATGTGGTAGAAACACACATAAATAGTTAAGACAACTGTGGACATCCATGCCCAAATAGTTTCATACATAACTAAGCAAATGAAATGAAACTTAATCTAGTGTGACAAGTCACTCCTTCCTACGCAGTGCAAACATCTTAAGAAACATTTGACGCCACTCCAGGTCCTTGAACTTTGCACAAGCATGAAAATATTGTTGGGATCCAACATCCTCCATACCCTCTAACACACCCATGCAAGCGTCAATATTGTAAGCGTTATTCACAATGTCATTCTGACAACTACGCTTGTATTTCTCCGTCCTAGCCATTGAGAACGAAGCCCATACATCAATAGCATTTTCCATCTTTGAACTCTTACTCCCCTTCTTTTGTCCTGAACTACTTGCAGGCTTTATAGGTGGTGGGTGAAATGGGCCTTCAAGATCATCGTCAAGAGTAGCAGATGATCTTTTTTAACCATTGAGAAACTCCTCCTCCAACTCTCTCTCCTCATCAGAATTCGGTGGGACTTGGGTCGAAGCACGGGCTAAAACGTATGTGGCTGTCGATTTTCCAAAGATAAGTCTTAATAAGTTGAAGTAGTTGTATTCTTTCTTGTGAAAAGCTTTCGCCTACAGGTTCACCTAACCAAAAAAAAACAAAAAAAAAATATTAACATTAAGGCTAGTAATAACTAACTAGCCTAAAAAGTATATACGACTATGTCAAACTATGCATACCATAATATATTTCGCCCAGATATCTTCCTCAGCTATCATAGTGTTGGTTTCTGGGTCCCAACCAAAACCAGTAATTGTAAGGAGTTTTTTGAAAGTCTGATATTTATTCCTCAACCTATTGTACTTTCCCTTAAGATTTGCAATAGTGTAAGTATGACCCATTTTTTTCGTCATCGCAACTGCCAATTTATTCCAAGTCTTTCCTTTGATGTTTCGTACAATTCGGGTTCTCCTTCTCTACTTCAATGACTAGGAGTTTAATAAATAACTCCTCATCACTCGGTGGCCAAATGGTCATTTTGTCAGAGTCATTACCTTGGGATGACATCTAAGAAAATATGCATCATGCATTAATTAATCATGTATAAAATGAATTACGTGGATGTAGCAAAAATCATAGATAACTCATACATTAAATAAATGAAAAAACATACAACCATGACATATGCTTGTAACATAAGTACCATTATTGCGTTTACATTCCACAATGCTCTTATTTTGAAGGAAGATGAGATACCTGCTCAGATGATACGTCCGACAAATCGATGAGTTCATTTTCACCGATTGAGGATTTGTTAAGGGTTGAAGTTCCTGTTGAACGGCCAACTGCTCGATGTGCACAACTTTGTGTTGAATACCCATAGTTGCTCCTCCACAGCCCTTTGGTGTGATATTGCAAGTTAGATCTACTGTGTTTAATAAATACGAAGAGACAACAACCCATAAAATAAATAGTTATAAACCCATGTAATGAAAACAAAATCCAGCAAAATCACATGCCTGCCAATAAAACTGATTTCACATGCCAATAAGCCATAACCAGTTCTTCAAGCAAGAGTACATAGTCAAACCTCACTATTATTGTCAAAAAAAAAAGCTAACATCTACTGTCCTCATAAACTATTTAGAAGTTTTACCGCTAATTTTGGGTATTAATCATATTCTGTTGTCGAACCTATCCATAAAGAAACAAAAAATAGAAGGAAAACTATGACAGACAAGGTATCAACTACAAGGGGAGGCTAAAATGAGTGAGATTAGGGGGGTCATGGCCCTCCTCTGAGGTTCTAAAGTTAGCTTTTCGCTTATTTAATTTTAATGAACCATTATTGAAATCATAAACATGCTCCCTTGTAAAATATCAATATTCTAAATACTATCTAAACACTAAAGAACTAACTCATGCATTACTTTAGTGGACCATCAACTCAAAAAAAAAAAGAACTTTGGATCAAAGAAATGTTGGGGAAAATTCGAATAAATGAAACAAAAAAATTAATAAATTAATAGCAACATAATTTGCAAAAAAATATATTAATAGATTGGTCTCAAACAAAAATTTCCTAACATGAAATAAAAAATTGTCATAAATCTTTTTGGGTCTTATTTGGGGGTCATGCCTACGATAAGAAAATAATACACAGGCACCCCACAAGTTAGTTGTTCCCATCACAAGTTAATTGTCTATCTTTTTAACCTAATAAAGTACCCCTGCAGAGTCTCAGGTAACAAATCTTGTGTATATTATCATATTAGGATGGTGAATTTATTTGTGAAAATTGAACAGACAAGGTAAAACATGATAGACAAATGGAATTTGAACCATAACAACTGAATGGCGGGATATACATACATTTTCGATCAGCCTTAAGTTCAATCAGGTCCCAAAATATCGAAAATAAATTCAAGGCAAAAAAAAAAAATCAGATCTAGGAGATATATGGCTTACTAGAGTCACTAGAACTATGACTTCGGTTCGCCAAAGTTGTTAGACAACAGATCTATTATAGATCTGAAGGTAAAAAGGAAAAATGAAAACAAATCTAAAAAAAGACAAACCCATAAAAAATAGTTGTGACTTCGGTTCGACAACACTGTTAAACTACATATCTGTTATAAATCTGAAAGTAAAAAAGAAAAATGAAAACAAATCTAAAAAAGACAAACCCTATTAAAAAAATCAAGGCAAAATAAGCGAAAAATTAAACAAATCTCTATGGCTGACCTAAGCTTCCGGAGCTACCCTATGATTCGCCAGAGCTACGTCGGTGATTCGCTGTAAGATCTTACAAGTTCTTAGTGGGCGATTGTGTTGGCTAGAGAGACTACCATAAGAGAGAGTCTGAGCAAATTTTGGGATGGTGGAAAAAAAAAACATTTTTTATACTTAGTGTAATAAGTTAACAGTATTTTGTGCTTCGTGTTTTCAAAATTTTTAGCAAAAAACTCTGAAAACAATATTGGCTTATTTTCTATTTTTTTACTCCAATTCTCATTTATTTACTAAATTTTGAGAACAAAAATGATAACCAAATGGGTTTTGAAAATTTTTTAGGTTTTGAGAACAAAAAACAAGTTTGAAGATTCAAACCAAACACAATTGAGATTTTTGAATTTTTTTTAAATGGTTGGGTCCTAATAGTTGCATTCTTTATTGTGTACGGTGATTTTTCGCATAATAAATGAATATACAGATTTCTCCCGTGGTAGATACGAGTTTTGCTTGGAAAGTTGATAATCAAGTGGCAAACGAACGTGAGAGATGGTATATGGAGTGGTGATGATTTACTTTTTCAGCAGTTCGAATGATCTCGACGTATCGAGATGAACCCTGCCACTCAAAAATGAAGGTTAGAAGGGCATCAAAGTATTTTTCGGTGTGGCCCTTCCGACGATCAAGTTAGTATGTAAGAGAGGGGTGAGAATTCACTATTTTATTGCTTGGGTCAAAGTGTGAGTACCTTTGTCTTGAATTTATGAGAACTATTTATATCTCCATGGAGATAATCATTACGGACAGGTGGGTCTCCTGGAAAGGAAGTCCCTAATTGGCCCATTTGGGAGGCGGCCTGTGGAGCATAGTCATTGGGCAAAGTGTCTCCTTTGTCATGTGGAAAGGAGTCTCTGCATTTAATGCTCGAATCCTTGAGTATTTAATGCTCTCATTCTAGAGTCCGATGAATAATAAATGTGTCTCATCCTTCTAAAGGATCATTTAATGTTTTCTTGTGGTGGCTACGCATGCGTAAGGGCACCTTTGTCCATTGGCTCCTAGTTTTGTACTCTGCACATCGTGCATCACTATTGTTGGTCATTGACCTGCTCTTTCTGTCATTCTGACTGCTTTAGGAAGGGGAGTTAATGATTATTGACTAATTTCGACTCCAAGTCACGATAACTGTCAATCCCGTCATCCATATCTCAGGATTTTGGAGTTGAGATAACGTGTCCAGTAGGGGACCTCGGGGCGTTAGGCACACCAAGAACACGTGTCACCAAGGCAATGCTCTGGAGTTGCCAACGCCGAGGACATGCGTTAGTTGTGGAGAGCCCCGGGGAACACTAGCTGAGGACACCTGTCAGTGTACACAGTGTCTGGGGTACCTTTACACCGAGGTCACGTGTCACTCATAGACAAAGCCGAGGACTGCTAATGTCAAGGACACATGTCACTCAAGGAAACACTCACGTTCCTCGTACCGAGGACACATGTCAACTCCTTGCTAATTCTCAGAAATGTCCCATCATTTATTTTGCTGTCAAAAGCCTCATCGTAGTTAAACTTTAGTTTTGAAAATTAGGGAGGCTTCCATGTGTATGTGTTCCCTTCTTTTGTATCACCTTTTCCAGTTTTCATGTTTGAACTCCTGTTGATGGACAGTTATTCCCTATGCATTCTCCTAGCCTTGATCAATACATCAAAGGGGTTTGGTGGCTTTGAGTTGAAAATAACGTCATTCCTAGCCGTCCATGTCATCCAGCTCACTATAGCAGCCTTGCTCAACACCTCCTAACGACCGGCTATTTTGAGTCTTAAAATAGGAACTGAAGTAAGCATTTGTGTAATTAGGGGTGTAGAAACTTTTGGTTACAGATTAAATTAAGGGTCAATTTGGTGACAAAAATTATATCGATACTTCATTTAAGATGTATATAATTTTAGGAAAACAATATTTTTATTATTTTTTAAAAATTAATTAAGAAAATGGAAAAAAATAGAATCACCCCTGAGGTGACAAACACCTCTCAAGGCAACTCGTTGGCGGATTGATGAGCTCCTTCTCTGCATGTGTTTCCACGGAGAGCATGGCTCACCTTCAAAGGGGTATAAGAGGGGGAAAATCCGATTGGGGAGAGAGAGAGAAGGAGAAGAAGAGAAAGAGAAGTTTGGAGAAGGAAACGCAAGGCCGAAGTTTTGGGTTTTTAATGGAGATTGTTTTGAACGTCAAGAGGTATACTCCTAGCTTAATTTGGACACTAGGAATTCATTTATATGCTTACTTTTTGTTTTGGATTAGATTAGATGTATGTTTTATGGTTTAAAGTTTATGTGGGTTAAGGTTTTTATGAAATGGGTATTGAAGTTAAGGTTGTTTTGTTCTATTTTGTTGGCCGTTGTGATGTGAGGAAGTTGTGGAGTAGTATGGGGGTTGTTTGGTGGTGAGTTGTGGTTGGAGGTGGTGATGGAGTGGAGTTACAGAGGATGAAACACAGGTGGAACCGGTACATCGGGTGATCTGTGGGAGGATGAACCGGTACAAGGATTGTTTAACTGGTATAAGGGCCTCTAGAGTGTGATGAATCGGTACAACATAGATAACCAGGTTCAATAGAGCTTATTTTGCTTGTTTTGCCTCTGATGTCGCTTTGACTTACTTTTTGGCTAGGACTTTGACCAAATTAACTTTATATTCATTTTTAAATAATTATATATATATATATATAAATTTATAGAAAAGTAACACTATTCTATTTTTTGTAGTTTTAGTTCAAATGCCGCAATCGATAGGGTTTCTCAATTCCGGATCAAACGATGTTTTTCAAACTTGTTTTTAAATTACTTCATATGTTATTTATGACAATTTAGCATGTTTAAAAATATATGATTGGGTGTTTTAAATGTTGACTTAGAATTCGGACCCGTTTTGGAATTGTGAAGTGCGGTTTGCACTATTATTCGTATTGTTCATATTGATTATATCACTGGAAATTGTTGAAACTCCGGGTTCCTTTTGGGATTAAATATAAGTGCACAGCGGATGAGTGACAAAGGGTTTATGTTACAGGTTGAGGCCATAGAAGATTTCGTATTGAGTTCGTAAATGCCTAAGTGACTATGTTAGTCTTCAGACTTAGGTACCGAATTGATTCAAGGAGCTTATCTTTCTTGGGGGTGGAAGTCCTCTAAAATGTTATATTTGTTTTGGCCCTGTGTGGTATGATAGGATGATAGAGGATGATAGCTTGACGGTGTGGCACTTAATTGATATTATTGTTGTATACCATATGATTCTCATTTGATGAATTATTCTACATGAATAATGTTATTTTGTTTATAATTATGTGTCAAATGTTCGTTTTGCTATTGTCCAATCATGACAAATTATGTTATTTTCTATTGAGTTACTCTAATGAATTGTTGATGCTCACCTTACATTGTTTACCATTTTTCAGATTGATCGAGTATGAGCGCATAATACTATTTAGTAGAGTTAAGCATGTAATAAAAATAATAATCTATGTTCAGGTATACGTGGATGTAAATCGTAGTATCGGAGGGTGTACTTCTATAATGACTTGGGTTTTACGTCCCTTAGTTTTACAATGTTAAATTACATGCTTAGTGGGTTGGTTTGTTATGCTACGCTAAATTATAAGTTAACAATACATGTATCCGTGAAAGTGGGGTCTGACACGTCCAATTCTGGCTTTGATCTAATAAAAACTCCATAACTGCATTTATCCATTGCTTCACCGAAGGTATTGGGTTAGCATGGATCCTTTACCCTATCACTTCCAAACCAGACTCTCCTTGTCCACTCACAATAGAACAAAAATGTGCCTTGTTGTTTCTGCCTGGCTATTACAAATTTTACAGAGAGGGGATGGTGAACACTTTCAGGCAAATAGGTTTTCTAGGGTCGCGAAAGCATTGTTGCAAGCTTTCCATCAGAAATATTTAATTATTGGGCTTGTCTTCATTCTGCATAACAATAGCCCTAACTCTGGGTGGGGTTGGAAAGAGGTCAAGCCTTCTCTTTTTCTTTTGCTTCTCTATTCCTCTTTGGCCAAATAGTATCCTGATTTTACTGAGTAGGTTCCTGACCTGTTTGGCCACCTTTCCTTCAATTTTGGACAGTGGGATTTCCAATATTGCCTCTAATTCCCTATTTGTTACCAACCCTCTTTATCCTCCTAGAACTTTTCTGTATCCCCTGCTTTACTTGTCATCTAATCCCCTTATCCAAGAACTCTATTCCAAAAAAAAGAGGTTGGTCTAGGTCCATGAAGCTCCTTGCCTCTTTCAATTCATGGAATTGTTGTTTGGGAAATAATTAACTTTCATAGTTTGTGCCCACAGAGAGTTTGGATTGTGGATCAATCTCCAAGCTTGTTTTAGCTAGTAAAGTAGGGTTAAAGCATGAGAAGTCCTTAAAACCCGGGCCTTTTAGTGCCTTAGCCATTGTCATGTCCTTCCAACTTTTCGAGCATATCTTTCTTTTCTCTACATTACCTTCCTACCAAAACTGTTTGATCAAAGAGTTTATCTTATTGCATATTTTTTTGTGAAAGCTATACAAGCATTGCATACGTTGGTATAGCTTGGAACACATATTTTAGGAGTACTTCTTTCCTTACTTGGGACTGGAAAATATTCTTCCATCCTTGAATCTTCTTCATAATCCTCTCCAGAACGTAATTGAAGGTTGCCATCTTTGTTTTTCCACAAAAAGAAGGCATTCTTAGGTAGGTGGCAGTATGGGTAAGTTTAGTTATGCCCATCAATTGTGTTATTTCTTCCTTCTTCTCAGCCATAGTGCTTTTTGTACAGATGATTCCCGACTTGTTTAAATTTATCAATTGGGCAGAAGCTTCACAATATGTGTTGATCAATCCCATAAAATTCTCCCATTCTCTAGTCACTTCTTTCATAAAAAGAAGTGAATCATCGGCAAAGAATAAATGTGTTAGAGTTGGACAGTTTCTTTTAATTCTAATGCCCGAAATCTTTCCCTCCTCTGCTGCTCTTGTGATCATTCTAAAAAAGAAATCTGTCACCAAAAGGAAGAGATGAGGGGATATTGGGTCTCTTTGTCTCAAAACTTCTTTGTGGGTTTAGAGAGCATTGAGTTTTCCAATTTGCTTTAACCTCAAATTTCACTGTGGTCACACATTGCATTATCACATTAATTTGCACTAAAACTCATTTTGTAGTGCTTGCCCTTTTTTCTTTACTTCAAGTGGTTGAAAAGTTTGCTTGCCAAGAAAATACTATCTTGGATCTGGCAATTGATTTAACTACCCTTTTTTCAAAAAAAATTTAATGGTAAATCAATTAATCCCCAAAAATAAGTCAAAGCCTAAAAAGAGGAGAATTCAGTCTACAACCCCTTTCTTATTTGTCATTCGAATGGCAATAGTGGAGACTAATTCTTTTTGCCTAACGAAGAAACTACTCTACTCTTTCCATTCATTATCAATGAATCATTTTTTTCCCTAAGAATTGAACAAACCAAGTTCACATACGAAATCCAATTAATTCACTTTAGCCAAATTTACTGACTAGGATTCCCTAATATTTATTCTATTTATTTGTTTTTCTTAATACATTATTTGCTGTGAATTTTTATAAAACTTATAATAGACAAATGAATTTTTAATTGATCCATAATGGGTAATTTGTTAAAAAATAATTAAAAAAACAATGAGGTTATGTTATAGGTACGTAATTCGAGGACCTTATTAGGAATTTAATTCAATACAACCATTGAATTATATATTGAATTAGTTATGACTTTCAAAATTAAATGAAACTTATTTTTAATTCTAAAACTGTAATTTGATTAAATATTCAAATTATGTCTCTAAATTAAATTTAAATAACATTTTTTAAAAATAATAAAGAGGATCTAAATCCTGATATATTTGTTGGCTATTCAAAACGAAGCAATAATTTAAATTCGACAACGTAGATAATACTTTATTTTTTGAATAGGTTTTTTTATAGTGAGATATTACTATGGGCTAAGAGACAATGAGATTTAAACTTGTGACCTTAAGTTCAATACGGTGATCATTAAATCAAGGGTGAGACTATTTCTACCTTACAAATCTCAATTTCTATCTCATTTAATTTCTTATTATCAAATTACTAAACTCATCCCTCCTATACCCACCTCATTAGTAATTAGGCTCACCTCACGCTACATATAGCCCATTAATAATTAAATTCACTCATTTTATGTACACCTCATTTAATAAAAGAAGTTATCATAAAAAAAAAATAATGAAAGAAGACAATTAATTTGAATAAATAAATATATTTACAAAACAAGGAAAAAAAAAAAAGAACCAAGCAAAACTGAAACAAGAAAAAAAAAACTAAAAACAAAACAAGTTAAAAAAAACAAGCATGCCGAAATAAGAAAAAAGAAAAGAACGAAACAAGAAAAAAAGAAACAGACCACGACACAAGAAGGAAAAAAAAATCACGTACGAATTAAAGGAACAAACAAAACTACAATTCGTAAAATTGAATATGAAAAAAAAATAAACATCAGACATAGATACAAAATCGAATAAGAAAAAGAAAATAAGTATATATGCAAAATCTTAATAAGATAAAAAAGAACAAAAAATTTGAAAGCATACATATATATATATATATACACACATATATATTCTAAATAAAAAATTATTAAACTTGACAGATATATCAAAACATACCGAAAATAATAAAAATCCATATAACAAATAAAAAATCAAACATATAATTAAAATCATAAGTAATACTAACATGTATCTCACTAAAAAAATTTATATTGAAAAAATGTTTTTATGAGTGCATATAGATGAGATAGAGAATAAAATCTTAAATATAAAAAAATATAATTATTAAAATGGATATATGTAACGTGAGGTGAATTTAATTACTAATAAGATATGTATAAATCGAATACACTTAATAATTTAATAATAAAAAATTAAATATAATAAAAACAGAGAATTGTGGAGCGGGAACAGCCCACCCTTAAGTCAATCACTGACCTCGTCGGACAATTGGCGTGTTTTTATAAAAAAAGAAACTTCAAATTATTTCTCTGTAATTCCTAAAAATAAAAAATAAAAAATTCCAACGGCTTGACCAGCGTTTCCCTCCTCTTTTTCCTCTTTTCCCCATTTAGTCAGATTTCTCATTTCTCCCTCCGATCAGGTAAACATATATTCATCTCTATACAAACTTCACGAGTATTATTATTATTTTTTTAATTTCCTTGATTTTAAATATAAATTTCGTCTTGTTCATTGCTTTAATGTTATAGAAGAACCTATTTTCTAGGGTTTCTTGTTCTGAATCTGAGAGAGAGAGAGAGAGAGAGAGATCAAATGGCCGCTCCACCAGCTAGAGCTAGAGCCGATTACGATTTACTCATAAAGCTTCTCTTGATCGGCGACAGTGGTATGTGCTTCCCCTTTTTGTTATAGATCCAGGTTAGAATACATATATTTGTTTGTAATGTGGTGATTTTGTCATGGTCCAGACTTGCGATCGTGTTGTTAATATATGCTTCTAGCTCAGTTTGCTTTGTTTGAGGTTCTATCCTAGGTTTTTGTTTGCATTTACATTGTGACAAAGCAATGTACAATACGGTTTTCACAGATTTAGATGTTTTTTTTCTATGGAAATTATGTTGAGTTTGAGTTGGAAATGTGATCCACGGTTCTTTTGGTTTTTTTTTTACCCCGAGCAGCCAATGTTTAACCTCGTTTTTGGAATGATAGTTCACACAGTTATATATAAAAAAAAGTTCGTGNAAAGAACAAAAAATTTGAAAGCATACATATATATATATATATACACACATATATATTCTAAATAAAAAATTATTAAACTTGACAGATATATCAAAACATACCGAAAATAATAAAAATCCATATAACAAATAAAAAATCAAACATATAATTAAAATCATAAGTAATACTAACATGTATCTCACTAAAAAAATTTATATTGAAAAAATGTTTTTATGAGTGCATATAGATGAGATAGAGAATAAAATCTTAAATATAAAAAAATATAATTATTAAAATGGATATATGTAACGTGAGGTGAATTTAATTACTAATAAGATATGTATAAATCGAATACACTTAATAATTTAATAATAAAAAATTAAATATAATAAAAACAGAGAATTGTGGAGCGGGAACAGCCCACCCTTAAGTCAATCACTGACCTCGTCGGACAATTGGCGTGTTTTTATAAAAAAAGAAACTTCAAATTATTTCTCTGTAATTCCTAAAAATAAAAAATAAAAAATTCCAACGGCTTGACCAGCGTTTCCCTCCTCTTTTTCCTCTTTTCCCCATTTAGTCAGATTTCTCATTTCTCCCTCCGATCAGGTAAACATATATTCATCTCTATACAAACTTCACGAGTATTATTATTATTTTTTTAATTTCCTTGATTTTAAATATAAATTTCGTCTTGTTCATTGCTTTAATGTTATAGAAGAACCTATTTTCTAGGGTTTCTTGTTCTGAATCTGAGAGAGAGAGAGAGAGAGAGATCAAATGGCCGCTCCACCAGCTAGAGCTAGAGCCGATTACGATTTACTCATAAAGCTTCTCTTGATCGGCGACAGTGGTATGTGCTTCCCCTTTTTGTTATAGATCCAGGTTAGAATACATATATTTGTCTGTAATGTGGTGATTTTGTCATGGTCCAGACTTGCGATCGTGTTGTTAATATATGCTTCTAGCTCAGTTTGCTTTGTTTGAGGTTCTATCCTAGGTTTTTGTTTGCATTTACATTGTGACAAAGCAATGTACAATACGGTTTTCACAGATTTAGATGTTTTTTTTCTATGGAAATTATGTTGAGTTTGAGTTGGAAATGTGATCCACGGTTCTTTTGGTTTTTTTTTTACCCCGAGCAGCCAATGTTTAACCTCGTTTTTGGAATGATAGTTCACACAGTTATATATAAAAAAAAGTTCGTGACACAGTTGAATGCATACCTAATTTTAACCTTTTTTTGTGTAAAATTGGGTTTCTCAGATTCGAACATATAATTCCGTAGTTGTTGGCCCGAACCTTGATTCCATTGTTGTTTCTGCCATAGATTTGAATGTATGTGTATTAGTTAAGGTTTTTCTGATTAGCATTTGTTGTGACGAACTGTTTTGGGTTGCAAAATTTGATGGACTGTGGATTCAGCTTGTTTATCTGCTGATTCTGCAATTTTTGAAGTTTGTAGATTATTATTTGAATTTGTAAGGCTTCTTCCAACAAGTAGCATCACCCTTTCCTATTAATTATTCCTGATTTGAGATCTTTGTATTGTCGAATTGCATCTATACATATGTGTCCATCCATTTCTTACTAAAGAACGGCGAGTTGCCACCATAGACCACAGCCACTGTGCTACTGTCTCAGGCTCTTTTTATTCCCTTGATGCATTTACATGTCTAGTTTATGTCTTCTTGACCAATTCATCTTTCAAAATTCCACAGGATTAATTTACACTGCCTATTTTTGATCCATTTAATAATAATGATGGAAGCAATGAATTCAGGTCAAAACACATTTTACTCAAGACCACTGTTCATTTTTATGGTTTTACATGACACGAACAGTACTCTGGGGTTTGGGTCTATGGGCAAGAGGTTAGTGCAGTCCTTCTATTGATGTCATCATATAATATTTAGTTTCGTTGAAGGTAGTAGTCTGTTCATTGAAACCTTCTTTTCGTGCTACAGATCATATGCTTTTCACTTTTCATCATTTAAGGTTGTCTATTAAACAGATTATGTGATCATCAAAGGACACAAGTCTATATTTTGTTACCTTGTCATGTCAAACTTATATGGTAGTATTTTGCATGCTTGATTTGAATATGTAATTTTATGAATTTGTTTTGTATTTTTATGGATATATCCAAATTTAATTCGGCAGGTGTGGGTAAGAGTTGCCTCCTTTTACGTTTCTCTGATGGTTCCTTCACCACCAGTTTCATTACCACAATTGGGTAAGTGCCTCCCAATTTTCAGATATCTAGAGTTTTTCTTTTCCGAGTTCTCCTAAACACTGCTTCTGACTCAAGTTCAGACCTTCTCATATAGCATTGATTTTAAGATAAGGAGCATAGAGCTTGACGGCAAACGAATCAAACTGCAAATATGGGACACTGCTGGCCAGGAGCGATTCCGAACGATCACAACTGGTATGTGGTCAATGCATTTACTCTATTTTTTCTGTCTTCAAGCTAAAATTTGATAGTGCTTAGCGGTGCTGTATTTTAGTTAGTCATGTTTTCTTCACAATCATTTTACCATGTCTCTAGAAAATAGAACTCGGAGAACTTTCTTCTGGATCTCTCTGTGGCGGACACAGTAATTCCTTTCTAGAAATCCGAGGGGTATCACTTCACCTGCTATTTTCAGTGTAGGTGCCCACGGGGACTGACTGAAGAAAGAAACAAGGAAAATTGGTTTAGCCAATTATTAGTTTGTATCAGTTCCCACACCCTAGACCTAATCAAATCCTATCTTACTCAGATATTAACCATTTGATACTTGTCTATGTAAAGGAAACATTAAAACAATATTTTGCAATGGTTATACATTAAGTAATTATTTCTGTTTGTCTCCAAATAAAATCTAAAGCATTATTACTTCTTTTTCACCTTCTTTTATTTGGTGTTATTTTTTTTTCCCTCGAGTTTTTGGGTGAGGAAGCAAGAATGTATATCTGAAGATTTTCCAAAAACTATACTCCAATTGGAGAGAGTGTTAAATTGAAGAAGTATAATGAATTTTCAGGTTTAAGTCTACCAAGAAACCAAGCCCAAACTAAATCAGGTGCAAAATGAATGACTGATAGCCAGTATTTTTTGAATTTTGTATTCATTGGTTGTTCTGGATGCTTTTTGGATGGCATATTTATTCCTGATAGTATAGGACATTGGCTGATCAACCCCCCTCCCCACCCCCCCACCAACAAACAAACCAAAATAAATAAATTAGTGCAGTATTCAAAAATGTCGGATGTGTGCAAGCACATCTGTAGGCTGAGTATAAAACAAGTGGAATATTTTATTTGAAAGTATTGATGGACTGTGGATGGTGGATTAATTTTATCTTGGATGACTGGCGTGAGAGTTAGGATATAGTTTGTTTGGATAAGAGGGATTAGTGGGAAGGCCTTTCAATGAAGTCCCTTAAATATCTATTATTTTTGTTCTCTCTGCAAATTAAACAGGACATTTGTCTTTGTTTCGGTTTAACTTAAATGAGAGTATAGCGCATCACCGAAATAAATGGCGAAAACGGACTCATATAGCCGACCCCAAATAATTAGGACATAAGGCTTGGTTTGGTTTATCTGTCTTTGTTTTGGTTGTTGCATATATGTTTTGGGTGTCCTGTTTGCTGTGCTGCTCTATTTTTGGAATTGGTTCAAAGTTCTTGTATCGTTTTCTCATGCTAGCAATTTAAATGCTGGGCTGTTTTGGTTAAGCAATTTCCCTTCTTCTGCAGCATACTACCGTGGAGCCATGGGTATTTTGCTGGTGTATGATGTAACCGATGAGTCATCTTTTAACAGTAATTGCTTCCTCCATTCTTATAATCTGTGGATTTTCAGTATCCTTCCTTCATTGCCAATGGAGGATGATGTTTCACTTATCAATTGTACATTTTTTTATCTTCATCAAATTTTATCCATTACTGCAATTGGTTTGCACACTGCTTGCATAATGCAGTATGTTGTTTGATGTGGGATATTGATTATCGGTTCCTTTGGATGGATTATTTTTTGTTCATTCTTTCAAGTTTTCCCATCCAATCATCTTCCATAACTGACCTTTTCCAGTGTTTAGACATTAGGAATTGGATTCGTAACATTGAACAGCATGCTTCTGACAATGTCAACAAGATACTGGTGGGTAACAAAGCTGACATGGATGAAAGCAAAAGGGTCTGCTCTCTCTCTCTCTCTCTCTCTCTCTCTCTCCCTCTCCCTACATATATTTATAATATATAGATGCACATATGTATGTATGCTTATATTCTTGCGTGCTTATACTCTTGTATATGTATTTACTAGGGGTAGAAGTGATGGATTTGGGGGGAGGGAGAAAAAAATTCAATGTGAATGGCCATTAGATGAGTCTATTTGAGACCGTCGGATGGGCTTATTGAAACTTGTCCTGTTTTATATTATAGATATCTGCGTTCATGTATGAGTGAGCATGCATGCACGTCTACCAGCTTGCATTTGCAACTCCACCATTGAATTGACTTGAACCTTCTTTCTCTAGGCTGTTCCTACCTCGAAAGGCCAAGCACTTGCTGATGAATATGGCATCAAATTCTTTGAGACTGTAAGTAGAAGTTATTGCAAATGTTAAGTTGCTTGCTGTTGTACTCAAATTTTTATATATCCTTGATGACATAACATTATACAGAGTGCAAAGACCAATTTGAACGTGGAGGAGGTTTTCTTTTCTATGGCTAGGGATATAAAGCATCGACTTGCAGAAACTGACTCGAAAAGTGAGGTATAAGTATTTCTAACATCACTTGCAATTTGATCCTGATGTTCTCACAAATACAGGAGACCTGGTTTTAAGTAGGACACTGTAATTGGGTTTGTTATCAATGACTGGACTCATTAAAAGTAATCTTCTGGGATTTTGCATTTGCATATTGTTAAATATATTTTTTTTTACTGGTTTGACTAAATATTCTAGCTCTTATCATCTGCAAATAGTTCCGAACATTGAATGCTAATGTGGTGGTACCAGGTTGCCCTCTGGCTAAGAAGCTTGACATGGAAACCTGTTTTTTTTTTCTCCCAGTAAAATCTCATGCATAGGTTTGATGCTTATATTGTGTAGTACTGACCCATCCTTGGTTCGATTATTGCAGCCTCAAACCATCAGGATTAACCAACCAAATCAGCCAGCAGGGGCCGCTCAAACTGCCCAAAAATCATCTTGCTGTGGTTCTTAAACCAATCTTTTGCATTCAAGATAGAATCACAAAGTACATCATCAGAGTGGCCATTTTGGTGGGAAGAACTGATCATGGTATGACAGTATCGGTGTTGCATGTAGCGCTTTCCCGGACGTTATTCTCATTTACTACTACTTTGTGTTCTAGTGGTAGTTCTTATTTTGAGATTTGATTATTATAATCTTATGTTTTACTTTGTTATCCTTAGCAATTGACACAAAAAGTTTAACCTATTGCCCTTGTCCTCTCTCCCCAAGTAGAAACAAAGGTAGAAGCACCAACTTTCTTTTTGTCTTGAACTGTTCTGAATGATGTGGTGATCTTTCATGGAAGCAAAATTTATTTGTGCTTTATTAGGTATGCCAAGTTCCAACACCCTTTGTACATCGCTATGCTGCTAAGTTCAGCATTGCTCGGGTGGACTTTCATATGGGCTGTGGTGAAGTAAATATGGTGGTAAAGTTAATTGGCTAATCTGTCACTATAATCTCAAGCTGTTTCGTGAACGTGATTAAACTCGAATTTGGAGGTCTATTTTGTTCCTTCAGCGTTGCTTAATACTGCATCTGTTTCCTTTTTCATGCGCAAGTTACAGTTGGAATTTGGGTAGGAAATGTTTGATTTGGTACCACAAATCTGTTGTGTCAGCGATATTAGTTAAGACCTCTATACTCTGATGCCTTCGTGTCTCTTGGCATTGTAAGCCTAGGCTTTTTGCATGTGAGCCAAGGGCCGGTTTGGCTCTTCATGTCGTAGTCCACAGGTAACCTGTTAGCCTGGTGATTTCATGGCATTTTTCTGGATTAAAGAATAAGCTCAATTAGGCCCCGAAAGTAGCCCATTGTAGAGTCTGACCTATTTGTCCATAACAATTCCAAAAAAAAAGAACGAAATAAATACCTTGAAAGATAAAAGGGCCAGGTTCCTCAAAATGATGTCCACCAAAAAATATAATTCTTGCCCAGCTTTCTTTTGGCTTAAGAAGGCTGCAGTGAGAGTGAGAATTACTTCGTAACTCTAGGAGAATGGTCGTTTTAGGAGGGGATCTTAGCCCTACGTGTTGTGGACCTTCGGCCACGAGAGGAGGGTCTTTAAGCTTCCTGTTAAGTCGGTTTGGATACATCAACCCACTGCAAGGAGCCGGACCTAATATAGACACTAATATTGATCTGATGGACCTGTCATATCTGATCATGGCTTGCCCCTTTTGCAAGCAGAGTAACCCAACCTCCTGGCTGATGCCAACATTTTAGTAAATGTCACGCACGGCCCAAGGTCTATTGGAAAACACCGGCCATCATGAAACTTTCTGGCGTACTGCTTTGGGCAGGCGCAGAACTTCGGCTGGTCAGGAACTGGGGCGGCATTTTAGTGCTTTAGACCATGCCACAACGAGCTTGTTGCAACTCTAGGGGCCCTCATCAAAAATTCCAAAACCCAAGCCTAGTCCATTCCTACCACTAAGTTACAATTGCAACCGTATATATACAACACCATGATCCAAATCCCATATATAACATGGATTGCATTAATTACAAGGTGATATACTTTAGATTCAACAAAAGATTTTGCACGTGGCAAATTTGATGAACTTGTAGAACACCGATAATTTGACTATAAACATAATCACATTAATTTAAAAACAAGCTGCAAAACCTTCCTATCACCATCTCTGATTTACATCCATTCAACACCAAAAAATTTACAGCCATTTTTGTCCCGACCAAAAAACTTAACAAGGATTGTTGGCGGAGCAGATTCAACTCTCCTTGGGATCAAGACCAAGAAAACAGCAGAGCTTTGAACAAATAAACTTTGAGCATCGAGCATCCCTCCAGCAAAACATTTTTCCAACTGCATCAAATGAAGTTCCTTCAAAAGTGAATCCTTTCAGTCATCTAAGAGTGGCTTTTCACCATAATTGTACAACAAAGTTTTAAAGTTGAGTTTAAGTGCAATTACAAGAGAAAAACAATCTAATTATGTGGCTTTCAATCCTCATAAATACACAAGGGTATAATAAATGAAAAGATAACACTCCAAACAAACTATTTGAGATCAAGAAAAGCAACTCCATGGGCAAGTGATGCTTTAGCTGACAAAAGTACAGCTAATTGTAGTGCGAGAGCTAAACTTCAATGTTTCTTTAGCATGTTCCTAGTAGAAGTTTTAGTTTCTGTATGCTAGTGGATACCCTACAATTTTTTCTTATCAGGTGTTATTAGCTGAAAAGGGGCAAAAAAGAAAGGCTACCATTTATATATTCTGATGAGCTTAAGCATGATGGACTTCTTTTCCCTCACTAAGGTTATCCAGAAGTTTCAGCCGGTAGAAACAATCAAAAATGGATAGAAAGTAACAAGGGAAACTGCATCAAACTATTTCAGAGGGTGAAAAATTCTGGGCTGTTATTTTCTTGCAGCTTGAGCTTGCAAGAATGGATGTCCTTTCTAGACTTGCACTGAATGGAGGGATAAGAAATTATCTATTGGCTGTTTACCGCCATGCGTTGACCACTGTAGTCGTTGCCCTTTTTGCAGTCATTCTGGACAAATCTCTCTCTATTTCTGGGTGTGGGTGTGGGTGTGGGGTGTTTATGTGTGCCTGTGGAGTGCATGTGTACCTTCGTTCTCATCATCATCACTTATACGAGTACAAGTGGACCAAATAGCTAAATAAATTCTCAAAAGGTGGATAAGGCTACAGCCGGCTTCCTCAATATTCTCAAAAAAATTGATTATGCTGTGCTTATCAGCATACGGGAGCAAGTTACTAAATACCTGAATTTTTTTCCCTCACCCTCTCTCATGGCAATAACCCATTTAAGCAGCATCTCTCTTTCCATTGGCAGCCCAGTAATTGACCACAACCTTTATTTCATGAGAATGCACAACGGCAACATTTACTGCAGTAATGTGGAACATTCTTCCTGCCATAACATATCTAATGGCTTGCATCCTTATGCAACTAATATGAATGCTTTATACCTACTTTACGCAAGCAAGGTGCTGAAACTACAGCATCAATAACGTCAAGATATGGCAAAAAAAATTAACTATTTCCTCGCACAAAATTTAGGTTAGTATACCTTCCACTTCAAACAAATCCACTCATGGCAATTGGTTCCCTTCACCTTTCCCATATATACGCTGAAGTTCACGAGTAGCGGCTAAAAATGATTCTGAAGATGAAGAAAAGGCAAGCATGGTTGAAAATATTATACATCATGACTCAACAATTATAACGAATGTACTGGACTGCAACAAAACCAAACTATATAATTGCATCACCTTTCCAAAGACGAAAAGATTTCTGGTTAATGGGTGATCCAGTTATTGTCTGAATAACTTCAAACAACAAATTCTGAGGCGTGTTCCTAAGCTCTTGAACAATCCCATAAATTGTCTTTCCATTCTCAAAATATATGTGATTATTTGGGTGTTTTGTTTTGCAGCCAGCATGACGCTCAAACTCATAAGCATTAATTGCCTACACAAACCAGTTGATTGGCCGTTAGATCAATAAAATGGTTGTAATATTCCATTGATATAACAACGTCAACAAATGCACTAACCTTAGAAAAATTACATGACTGACAGCCACAGAGATAACCAGAACCTTTTATGATACCCTGAAGCTCCTTCTACCATGCAAAGAAAAAACCACGTCACCAAATGACAAGCTAATCTGAAAACATAATAAAAGATCTATGATTTACCTCTCGTGACCAGGCACTATACTTCACAGGCACTCCATCCAGCATCCCAGTTGAAAGCAAACTTCTGACATTCGAAGGGAAATTGTTCAGAGGAGCCTTTTTAGTCACTTTTTGCTCCTCCTTCTTCTTCGAAACAGTTTCTCCGAAGGCACTTTGAGCAGATCTTACAAGTGCATCAGTATTTGACTCAACCAACCCTTTTTCACTTGGAGTTTCTGATCTTTGAACTGAAGGCTGACCCATCAGTAAGTCATAACTGCATATTAGCTTTCCCGAAGGGTTTATATCATCGTCTTCATTGAATCCACCGCCAAAAGATATGATATTACTTTCTCCCTTACCAAAAGAGGGACCCATCGATAAGTTATTGTTGCTAACAATATTATTGTAGGTGTGGCACATCGATATGGAGTTCTCATCACCCTTGTCCGAGTGCCCCATTGATAGTGTATTGTCTGCACCGTTGTTGAAGGTTTGACACACGGATGTATTGTTGCAACTATCCTTGCTGAAATGCTGACTTATCAAAACAGCATTATTATTCTCATTGAAGGTGTGACCTAACGATACAGCGATTCCATCCCCCTTGCTGAAGGTTTGACCCATTGTTGAAATATTGCCATCATCCTTACTCAGAGATTGACCCATTGATATGGCACTATTATTCTCTTTGTAGGCGTGACCCATTGATATGGCACTATTATTCTCTTTGTAGGCGTGACCCATTGATATGGCACCATTATTCTCTTTGAAGGTGTGACCCATTGATATGTCAATGTTGTCCGACTTGTTGTAGGGTTGACCCATGGATATAAAATTGCTATCCTCCCTCGTATAAGTGTCACCCATTGACATAATGTTGTCATCGCCTCTATTAAAAGAGAGTCCCATTGATATGTGATTGTCATCTGCCTTGCTATAAGCATGTGTTGCTGACATGGTATTGTTCTCCCCTCTGGTATAGGCATGTCCTATTGATACAGACATTAAGTTCTCAGAGTCCTTTACTTGGCTGACCTTAACTTTTCTTATCCCACCAAAATTAAGATCCAATCTAGGATCTTCCAATGCATGAGACATAGATAAACCAAATGAGGAGTCATTCCCAAATGGATCCTCAATACCCTTTCTTCCTACATTCATATTGCCTATGCCTACAGATGAAACACACCTGTCATCAAAATTGATGGTCCTCACAGTCTCAGGGTCAAACAGCCTCTCAGTAAATTGGTCTGCAGCTGAGCGAAGACTGGAAGCATTTCCCCAAGGAGAAACATTTGAATTAAGGAGTCCAGAGAATGAAGTGTGGTTTGGAACTTCAACTGCTTGTTTCTTGTTGGGGAATAACTCTGCCTCACTGCTATCCATAAACCACTGATGAGAACGCTTTGGCTCAATTCTGGAGGAATTATCATAAACCATCGCACCATCACTTAAACTCCCTGGAACCTTTGCCATCCAAAAACCCTTGTTCTGGAAAGAATATAAGATAAAATTACTCACGTGTGGTAACCATATAGCTATTTACAAATGAATAACAAGAACACTCAATATCCAGCCTTCATCGCTACTAAATTCTCAGATGCATGCCATAAAAAATATTAGCAAGTCTCCTCTGCCACATCCAATACATGAAATCATTTCAGTCCAAATCCTTAAAGATGAATATGATGGCAAATACTCTGTAACCATTTCAGTCTAAATATTTAAAGATGAGTATGAAGGCAACTTCTATGTATCTTATGCTTTTACTAGCCAGCTCAAGTTTCTAAGGGCAGCTTTTCTTCTTCATCTATATTGTTTTTCATTCTCTGAGGCACTGATTCACTACTATTCCTTTTTCATAAAGATCTTTGATAACAACCGGATGAATGGAGAAACCTTCACAAATGACACATGAAATACAAGAAAGCACCAATTCTTCCTTTTTCCTTTACAGATAGTGTCTAGTACGACAATTAGGAGGCAACTGGTTCAGTGGTTATAATTGGGTTTAATCACTTTAAGCTGGTGGGTTCGAACTAGATGGTAGCCACTAGCCACTAGCCACTAGCCACTTGGAGCAAATAATGCCAACGATTATGGCTGTAACTAATCTATCTCTCCCAGAATTCCAGCCATGGGGACTAGATTGGGCGTTTTTTAAAAAAAAATTTAGCTGTAAATATGCAAATTGCATCATTCATGATGTTGGTCTAAGTTATTGTTGTGCATCTTTGAATATGCTTCAAGCATTATAGCCTACATATGTTGAAATAAACTTTTTTGTTCCATAATTTTTTCAGTGTCTCAATCCACATGTTCAGAGAATATGTCTCCAAAACTTCCAGAACAATCAGCATTATAATGACCTTTGTCACTTTCCAATGTTGGGTTTAAAACCGGCATATTAATTAAATATTCAATTATTTTATTGAAGAAAAGTGCTTCGCAAAACAAATCATGAATAAAGCATCTTCCAAAACCAAATAAGGTTTAATTGACTCCACACTTCTTTTCATTCTGCGGTTTATGATGAATGCAATTTCACTACTATTTTATCCATTTCTGCCAAAGTGTTATTAAAAGGCACATTCCATGGAGTCAGGTGGTCACAAGTCAAGACAATCACACCAACACCTTAACCTATTCTTAACAAAATCCAAAACTCAGCTGAGTACTGTGCAAGGTTGTTAGTTAAATTGTGACACTGCACTCTCAGTGGTTTTAGCTTCTGCACCTAACCATTATTATTTTTGCATAAGAACATCCATCTCAAGAAATGCCCACACAGAAACAAGTGTTAGTATTGAGGATATATAATGACCTACAGAAACATAAACTTTAAGTGAAAATCCAAAATTTTGAAAATGAAAGTAATATAAACCATACCATGTCTCTGCTCCTCTTGATTAGCTTCCTTCCAATAAAATCATGCGATTCACAGTCCCTTGACCTTCAAATTAGATTCCTAGCTAAAAAGAATAGTAGTTGGTGTTTCATGATCAAAAGTTGCAATAATTTAATTTACTCACCCAGCTATCACTTGAAAAGAAAAAAAGCTCCCAATTTCTTTTTCCCACAAACTCCCTACGCCAGGAAAGAGAAAATAAGAACCAAGCATAAAAAAGTAGAACAATCAGAAATTGTTTGAAATCCAGCAAAAAGCCACAACCTAAATATTTTGATTTCCGCTCAGTTTGATTCCCGAGGACACTGAATGGCTGAAAATAGGTCAAAATTTCCAACCATTCATTTTTCATCATTTGAACAACCAAAAAAAATAAAAAACACTAAACAAAACTGAGCATAATAAAACCTTAGCTAATGAGCTTAGTTTCAATGTAAGCTATCACTTCGTGAGTACTAGATGAACAACAAAAATCAAAATATTCCAATCGATTTCTTTACATTTCCCTTCCTATCACACTCCGTGAGTACTAGATGAACAAGAACAATGAAAATCAAATATTCAAATCGATTTCCTTATACTTCCCTTCCTATTTTCAACAACCAAAGCGAACTACAAAATACAGAGACTCAGTACACTAAACACCTAATAGAACTAAGCAAAAACCAGAATGATGATAAAACCCTAATATCAACAAATTAAATTCGAACTAGAACCTGTTGATATGAGTTATTTATGCGCAATAACATGTACCTCTAGTTGAGAGGTCGATTATTTAATGATCGTCCGATCTCCGATCGGAAAATAGAGAATTTTCCGGCGACAATAGACACAAGAGAATGTACGAATGAAGACAACGGCGAGATCTAAAAGATGGATAGTGAGTTTGCTGTGTTTTTATATGACCGGAAAATATATAACATGGTGCCCTGCACGATCACATGGGTACAGCCTCATCGTAACCGTACACGTAGACATAGTAGAGTTTGATCTGATCCGTCGATTGGATAAGAGTCTTGGATCAGGTGCTAGATGTGTACGGTGTGGGGTCAAGGGCTGAGCAATATATGCAGGCTAGGTGCATAGAGTTGGGGCCTTGTGGGCCCGGGATTAAGGAGAGACACGTGGTTGCATAAGGGTGGGAATGATGTATAAAAACGTGGGCCCATATGAATATTGTCCTCTAAAGAATGATAACGATCGTGACTCGAGAAGACTAGTGGCAATGGATAAGCAGACTTTGGTTTAGTAGTTGGACCTATACTTCTCTGTTTTAAGGGCTGTCCAATGGGCCGGGTCATGCTTTGTTTATAATTGTATATTATCTGATTTATGTCGTGTATCGTATTTAATTGGGTTCGTACTGATTATTTTATTTGACAGATGTAATGAGTTTACTCGTTCATTGTTGATGCTAAACCCAAATCTGTTTATTTTATATCAATTTTAATGCTAAACCCAAAATTGTTTATTTTATATCAATTTTGTATTGTTTTTACGACTTGAGATATAAATTTTTATTTTTTTAGGGAGATCTTGCAATGGAAAATATAATCAGCCCACTGGAAATGAATATTATTCAATGTATGGATCGTTTGCCTACCCATAAATGAGTAGTACAAGAGACATTCTATATATATATAAACACTTATTGTAGTATGAGTGAGCGGTAGTATTGATGGTGAGCGGTAATAGTGGTGGTGGGCGACAGTGGGGATGATGAGAGACGATGATGGTTATGGTGGGTAAGGTGACGACCATGGTGGTGGTAGCAGCCGTGGGTGGCAATAGGGATGACAATGGACTAGAAAAAAAATGAGTATTCATTTAAATCCGCTCTGTTTGGAGTGAGGATGAACCATATGTATTGGATGATGGACATATACGGGAATACCCGTATAAACCTGCACGGGGATGTCCCCTCCCCGCCCTCGCTAACCCGTGATCATAAACCCCAATCCATTTGCATCTACCTATAAAGTTAATTTCAAAATTCAGTGACCCATTGTTTTTTTTTTGTCCAATAAAGTAAGATCTATTATCTTTGTGTTCTTTTGATAACTTTTGTTAGATTTGTGATCATTTTTGTTAGATTTGTGATGAATTTTGTTTGATCTAAGAGTCTGTATTGTGTTAGCTATTGAAGATTTTTGTTTCGGATCTATGGTAATATACGAGGTTTTTAGATGTTAATTGTTTTGATTTTGATTTTTTTTTTTGGTGTTAAATTTGTAATTTTCATGTGTTATATCTGATTTTCTATATTAGATATGCAATATTTTGAATTTTTTAATTTTATGATACTTGAATATGATCTTTGTTGAATTCTGATTATAGTGTTAGATATTGTTTTTTGCTTGAAAAGTGCTAGATAAACTTCTTGCCTATTCAGTATACCAAATGCTAATTTTTATTGATGAGAAGAATTATGTGATAATTTTCAGTNGGGGGGCGGGGGGTAGGGGCAGAGATTACAAATTTACCAACAGACAAGGATGAAGATGAAAATTATACCTGTTAACAGGGATTGACAAATTTTTTTTTAAGCGGGTACGGGATGAAGACTACACCCCCCGCCCCAGCTTCGATCCACTGCCCGTCCCTAGGTGGCAATGATGGATTTTGAGTGACGATGATGGTAATGGTAGCCGTGGTTGGGGAGGTGGTAATTGTGATGGTCATGAGGGTGGGCCGGTGGGGATGGGTAGGGGTGATGATGGAACAATAACGGTGGTGATGATGGTAGAATGCGACAATGGTGGTGGTGGAGCAATGGAATTGATGGTGGTGGTGGGACGGTGGTGGTAATTGTAGTGATGATAGTGGGGGTGGTGGTGGTGGGGCAATGGAAGTGGTGATGGTGGTGGTAAGGCACTGGCAACGGCTCTAGCGGTGGGGGGAGGGTGTTGTTAGAGGTAGTAGTGGGGCAGTTCCAAACACTATTTTTTTTTTAAAGTATTTACGATAAATAATTCTTAGAAGTATTTTTAAAAAGTCACTCCAAACACACTCTTAATGCCCTATTTTTCATATTAAATTTTGGGTGTTAATATTATCTGTTAGATTAATTTTAAAATAAAATTTAAAACCATCTCAACTACAAATAATAAAAATTATTTTATTTATCTTTTGAGATTTAAATTATATTATACTTTATTATATAAAATATGCATAAAATTTTACATAACAGCTTGTTTCACAAACATAAAAATTGTCTTCTCTCATATGACTGGTGGTGGGTTGGTTACCAAGTAACAGTTTTTCTCCTGCTAAAGATATTGGCTTTGATGCTCGATGTGACAATTGAAATGTAGCAATGATAAATGTTCATCAGTTTAAACAATAGCTTTTAAGTCTAAGAATCCATTGTAATCAACCTTGCTTTTGTCACTTCAGTGTGATGCAAAGAAATTACTGTGGGCCAACTTTTCATGTTCTACCTCGTTATGGCAGTTGCTTATAGTCTGAGTACCTGCTTGCGGCTCAGGCTTGGGTTTGAACCCATAATACATGGGCCAAGGACGCCGTGTGAGCTTTCCTTTGTTCTTGATGTTCCACAGCCCAATCAGATGAAAGGCCATAAGGTGAATCCCCAAAAAACCCAAGAATTAATGCTCTCCAATTCCTTAGGTGGGTTGTGGTGGTTTTTTTTTTTTTTTTTTTTTTTTTTTTTTTTGGGGGGGGGGGGGGGGGGGGGGTTTCTGGCAGTTTTTNTTTTTTTTTTTTTTTTTTTTTTTTTTTTTGGGGGGGAGGAGGGGGTGGGTGGTTCCTGGCAAGTTCTTGCTTTTTATGGTTCCGAAACTGCTTATACAGAACTAAAATGAGAAGACAAATCCTCAGTGGTGAGCTTCAAATGCGACCTTTATGCTTACAAAAGATTAACCATGGACCATAGTAATAAAATATTCTCATTTGAAAACAAAATATATATAAACTATAAAAATTGAAAAGAAGCTAAAAAATGAACCAAATAGCGCCCCCCCCCCNTGAGCTTCAAATGCGACCTTTATGCTTGCAAAAGATTAACCATGGACCATAGTAATAAAAGATTCTCATTTGAAAACAAAATATATATAAACTATAAAAATTGACAAGAAGCTAAAAAATGAACCAAATAGCGCCCCCCCCCACCTCCCACTCAAAACCCACCCTCTAACGGGAGAAAATATACAATTCCTAGAAACAATCCCTCTGTCTCTCTCTCTCTACACAAAGCCATGCCATGATTCAAAACTTTTTCTATATTCAATAACCTAATGATCTCTGCCACCCCCAAAAAACAAGAGAACACTCTTCTCCAAAAGCTGAATTATATTCTCCAATCAAAAAGCTCGGAATCCAAAGTGCGAGAATAGGCATGACTTGAGAAACCCAAACAAGTGCAGCCCACTTCTCCCACCATTCTGTGCACACAAGCCCTTCCCTCAAAGAACCACGCCCTCATCGTTGTCATCATTCTCCACTGTACCAATATATATATATATATATTTGTGCTTAGATTCAGAATCCCCTGATCAACCCATGTGTCAACCATTCATCATGTCGCCACCATGCACACCATAACCCGTTAGTGGTTCTTCTTAAGAGCATCTTTATCATAATACCATTCAGGTAACACATCGAACAACTTGGGAGCAATGACTTTGGGTTGGGACAATGATGAACACCAGAACCAGCCTCATACCGGGGAGGTGTCAGTCAGGTGGTGATGCTTCTCGGTGGCACGTTCACGTATGACTTACAGCTGTCAGTAAAATACACCTCTAATGCTTCTATTGTCGGGTTACTTTTTGGGTTGTGACCGAGAACCTAGGAGTGGTTTGAATGCAACTTTGTGCCCTCGCAAGAAATAGGAGCTCTTCAGCTTGAACTGTGGCCGCCACACATGAAAAAACAGCAGGCTGTCGTGGTGGTGGCGGCGCAGTTGGTGACGGTTCAAAGGGTTTGGATTTGTTGTGGTTAGCTACATTCACTTGCACTGAGAACAGTGAATAGACTGGTCTGTGGTCGGAAAACTTGGATTCACCTCTAACATAACACATCTGCTTTAGTCCCTCGCCTCTCCACAATATTCTGTCACACCTATCATTGCATCCAGACAATTAGCCCCCTTCACATATATTATGGAGAACATAATACTTATAACTATACTAAATCATTATAAGCTTAAAATAAGTAAATCTAAATAAAATTTAAGGACCAATCTTGGTGCTTGGTGCAACAGTAAAACTATTTCATTATAGTATATGGTTCATTATGGTCAGAGTATATGAGTCGCACAAAATCAGGCCGAATAAGTCCATATTATCAAGATTTAATTACTTGGTAGCATACCCAAGATAATTCTCGACCAGTGATTTTCGTTTGAGTTATTTGAATCATTGATCATGAAAATAATAAAATAAATCTCTACACTTGTAACTTCATGATTGGCCTTAAAAATAAGACATAACACCCATAAATTATATTCTGGTATAATAATCGAACCCGATAAGACCACATATATATGATATTGTCCCCAATAACAAAAAAATTTATGCACCTAGACTTCGTTAATTCTATGATATAAACCATGAAGAGAACCATCCAGGCATGGTTAAGTCTCTTTATGCCCCTTTAGGGGAACCGTAGGAAACAGTAATAGTGGGTGTTAATTAAAACACTGGCATATGATTTGTTTTGCACATTCGAAAAAAAATAAGACATGAAAGGACTTCCCAAGCTTGGTACCCTATGACTATTTAATTGGGAGGAAATTACTAAATTAACCAAAATAATAATAATTTGCCCGGTCCCGGTCCCTTAACCAAAAAGCAATCTATGTGAGACCTTGGTGGTCGAAGTGATTAAGATTTTTAAATACTAGTACCATGTGAATTTGGGTTTCCCTGCCCTCAAATTATTGTATACTAGTTAATATTCGGTGCATTAGTGCTTTAAAACATCGCTTTCCCTCCTAGTTTTTTATTGAGGTAAAACCAAAGGCGGAGCTATGTTATGGTTCAAGGGGGCGGGCCATGGCTCCCTCAAGTTTTTGAAATTAGACATTATACCTTTAACATTATATTTTATGTATCACTTAAATCCTTAAAATTATAATTCATACATTGAATTATAATCTTGATTTTATTTATCCTCTCGACTATTGATTAGACTATGTAAAACCATTAACTATTAAAATTTTGACATTTTGTATAAATCGTTAAATTTTGTATTGTAAATTTATAAATTTTAGATTATTTTAAATTATTAATGGTGCAATTGATTTACCTTTTAAATTTAATAATTCAACTAGTTTTAATTAACTTTGATTGTTTTATTGAAAATAATAATTATGTTATTTTGTTTGAGATTGATTCTTATATATTCTATGCATGTTGAATGATCAACATTGATTAAAAATTATATTGTTATTCCGCTATTTGGCCTCCCTCAAAAGGAAATCCTGGCTAGTAGGTAAAACATCACTATATTGAAACAAATTGTAATGAAGTAAAACAACTTGAAAAAAAATTGTCATGATAAGATGGTATTAGCATGTGATAATTGTCTCAATTGTCTTCTGCTCTTGTCCATAGAAAGTGATTTGTGCCCTATTTATGTCAACCACTCTCTCTCTCTCTCTCTCTAAAAATTTATTAATTACTATCACAAATTGTAATCTCCACTCATGTTTATTGTTTATCTTCATTATGATAACTTTGGTTGACCCCGTTTGGTCGTAGAAAAATGTGAATCATAATATTATAAAAATATGGAAGAATATAATAGTGATTATCAAAGGCTGCTTAATGACTATGTTTTTCAAGAATATATAGATTGATTCTTTCTTAAAAATACTTATGGATTCAACTTAGGAATAGTCGCGACGAAAATTAGAGTCATCACATTATGTCCAGAAGGTGCATGAACGAGGTAACTTAGTATATAAAAAATAAAAGAATATTAATAATCTAAGTATAACTTAACAAGAGTAGGTTCTTAAAATAGAGTAATTTATTGTTGTCGTGCCTTGAATTTTGATGGAGAAAACGAAATGAAATTTGAAATCTTACCAAGCTGGAGTGCGTCGCTTATGTTTAGATGTAGAGGTTTGGACGACATAATTGTCTGAATTTGTAAGGTATTTGTACGTTGGAGCGAAATATATCCTTCCTTCTTCCCAACCTTTGAACACACGACCAGCTTTTTGTTCAATCCTTAACTGTCAGGTAAGACCAAAACCAACTATTAGAACATACAAAAGACATCCATTCTTATTATTATTCTTAGGATTAGGGACTGACAACGTGCCATGTCATATTAAAATTTCTTTTAACATATACCCAGTTTATCAAATACGTATATAGTTGAACTCGTGTCCACAAGATTAATCAACATCAATACTTCACCTGATCTTTCTCCAAAAGTGCCTGCCAGTCATTCTTCTGTAGTAGCTCACGAGTGTCCCCATAATTAGATGCGAGTCGATAGTTCAAATCCCCAAGCCAAATAACCTTCCTGAAAGTTGAATTACAAGTAAAAATAGTATATATACAAACTTTTCCGCCTGCTATAGATGAAGATGTCCATTGCAAAAACTCCAAGAAGGCTTAAGTGACTTCTCATGCAACATTAAAGTATGAAATTTATGTTTGGAGATTGACAAAAACAATGTAATTTGAGTACTCATTTAGAAATGACAAGTAATTCAAGCCATCTAGATTTTTCTTGTACTATGCAGGCCTCAAATAGACATCATAACTTATATAAAAACATGAAAATTGAAGAGAAGCAAGGGCACATACTCATGATCCAAAATGCTATCAGGAGGAACTGGTTCTCCGGGTGCTCTACACGAATGTGAAAACCTTGTTTTCTTCAATATTTCCATTACGTCCGAATTCCTTTTCACCTCATCACCCTCTTTCTCTCCGGATGCCAAATGGGTGCAAACAAAGCAAAATGTTGTTTGGTGCAGTGTCATACTAATTGATATTGATCCCTATCACCAGATAATTGTATAAAAATCATGCAAGTGATCGATTTACTAGCAATAACTGCAAAATGATTGTAAATGGTTACACCTTATTCCCAAGGTATCCCATTATTCCTCGTCCGACACATGAGACCTTGAGATTGCTGATATGGCGATAAAGATCGGCCCGAACCCATATGGATAGAAAGATGCCCACCATTTGCTTACTTGCAGCTAAGCAATATTGATGCTGCTTTGGACTATGGTGCCTCATTGACATGCATGGTGGACTAGGTGAACCTTCTGCACTCGAGCTCGAATTTGAATTCAAACTTAAAAACGTTTCGAAAGCTTCTTGGTTAAGTTCATCTTCTAATGTGAGCAAATCGGAAAAGCTGAGTCTAGGCTTTAGAATTGGTGGTGGTGGTGACCGTTTCAGCTCAGCTTTAGTGGCGTTGTTGTAATTTTGAGAAAATTTTGGGCCATTTTCGTTGGTGTTCAAAGCTTGTCGAATGAGATTAATCCACTTGGCAGCTGGGCCGTTGTCCTCTGCGCCTAGCACGTTGCCTGCATTCAGAGGTACGATCTCCTGAAACCTGATTCACCAGAAGGTTAATAGGGTAACTACTGAAATTACCCATCTCGAGCGTTGCAACTACCAAAGGACACCTCATAGCAAAATCACGAAAATACCCTTCTCCCCCCTCCCTTATCATCTGAATGTTTCACTTGATAACCAAAACTAACCCCACTTGATTTTGTATTACGAGTTCTGAATTTTAGTGGGGCTCACCCGCTAACTTGTCAGTAAAACGATAATAATGTAGAGAGCAGAAAATAAGAGATATGGTATAATAAAATCTCGAAAAATCGAGATACTATAAAATCACAATAATATTATTATTATGACCTAGCTTATTAACAAAATTTATTATCATTTAATAGTAGTACCTACTATGTCACTTAGCAAATTTCCATACGCGGCAGTAATTTAAAGGCATGGGCTGGGAGGGGCAGAAGTAGGAATTAAATTTTTAAGGAAAATATATTATTAATTGCTATTTGGCCCCAAAACAAATAAAATAATAAACAATTCGGTAGATTCACTTCAAAATTAATGGGTGTACAGTGGGTAGATGGTTAGAAGTAGAACACTTTATTGTATCTATCTCCGCCAGTTATAGGGTATGCTTACTGTGGAGAGAAAGAGAGAGAAGGGGGAGATTTGAATCCTCTAGCATAAATTTCCCGTATTTCTCTAATTTTTCCTTATTTTTTTTCACGATAGATCAAGTGTCATTAATTTAAATAAATTTAATAAATATTTTTTTATTTGTCAATAATATTATGATATATTATTAAAAAAAAATTAAATAAAAAAAAAATAAGGGAGAGAAGATTGGATTCAAAATGGATGAGATAGAAGATACCCAATAACATAAATGTCAGCTGGGGCAGGTTTCCTTAGCCAGTCTCTTAAATTCAATCCCTTGTGTGGCGACTTTCCTCCTACATTCCATGTCCCCACGAACATCCTGTAAAAGCCCCCATCATGTCCCAAACCAACAACCACCATCATGTCCAAACCCAAAACATAACAAAACAAAATTCATAATCCAATACCAACCACAACACAAACATTTAACACAACAAACCAAAATGTGAAACACACAATGATTTGGACAATATATCGAACAAGGATAGTTTGAATTTTAGTAACTTTTGAAATCAGGTCATAACGGAATTATTCCTCAAATAAGGTCGAGGCAATCGAAAATGTAGAATTGGTGGGAGAAATGTTCTTGCCTTACCTAAGGTCGAGGCAATCGGCGATCGCCGGTGCCTCATGATCAAATCTTGGCCGTTCAATCTCACTTGCTTCCATCATCCACCCTTCTGATGAATCGGATCAAAACCCAATTAGAATATGAACTTAAATATGATTAATTCAAATCTTAATCAGATAATATTGACAGATCAAACATAGAGGAAGGACCACCGTCCACCTAGGGCTCATTGAAAGCCAACCAGGTAGGCCCCACATCTAAATTCGATTCCTTTGGACCATTCATTTTTTTTGATGTCCAATCATATAATGAAGCCATCAATCCGACGGCTCCAGCACCATGGTATCATTATATGGATGGAGGATATTGATGAAACAGTAAGGAATGAAAATACTGTGCAGATCCACCGGAAAATTACCTGAAAATTCCTCCGGCACGACGACGTAGCTGTCCTTCTCCGAACAACTCTTCCTTCTCTCTCCTCTATTCACCATATCTAGTTTTCCATGATAGCAGAAGTTAAAACAGATACTTGAAAAAACGAAACAGAATAATACATCATAAACAAATTACAATCACCGACTTAATAAGGGATACAAATCAATTTATAAAATATCTTACCACTTATGGAATAATCCGAATAAAATTCATTACCACCACTTTTGATGTTCAACCATTTTCTCACAACCGCTTTAGGCCATGAAGACTGCAAAAAAAAAAAAAGGTTTCAGTTCTCTCTCTCTCTCTCTCACACACACACACATGCATATTTATGGAAGGAAAATCGTACCTTAGAATTTTTCAGGCGCTCTGTTCTCATTGATGTGTACCGAATTACCAACCCTTGGAGGGCTTTGAAACTGAAAGAGAGTGAACCCAGTTTTTGTTTTAGAGATTTGAATTTGGTTGATGTGTGAGGCAATGTTAGATATAGGAAATGAAAGTCTATGCAAGAAAATGAAAGGTGTATTTTAAGAGATTATGTAGTGGGGTTGGGGTTGGGGTTGGGGGTGGGGATGTTTCTACAACCAATTGTTTAAAAAGAGTCATAAAATATAGTAAAATGAAGTACTCCACAGGGAATAGAAAAGACCCATTTGTAGGGATAATGGAGACAGCTTGTAAGGAAGGATCGTAGAAGGAAAATAAAAGAAGAGAATAAAATTTTGTTGTAGCTTCGTATATATACAGATGTAACATATATAATATTACAGAGAGAGAAGGAGGGGGGGGGGAAGGTAATTCCTTTTTCTTGAAGAATATACTTTTGGCAAGCTTGGGTTAGGGACTTTAGAGAGAGAGAGAGAGGATGAAAGATTAAACAAAAAAGAAAATATAAAGAATTGAGCCTTTTGAGATCTTTGAGAGTAGGTGATTAAATCTCTACTAATTAACCCATTTTTGAAAGTGTACCTTTCTGAGTTCATCACAGCTAAAATAAACTACAAAGCTATACAAAACTAAGCAAATAAGAAAACAAAGCATAAAAATATAAAGATCAGAAAGATGGGTAAAGAGAAAAGTAGTAAAGGAAAGATCTGCAGAAAGTAAAAATGACCCCCTTTAAATTCTGATACGTGAAACCCAACAATGATACCTCATAAACTTGGGATTGCAAATGAAATTAGTGATTGAAAATCAAAAGATCTTGACGATTTGTCGTGACCCATCCCAGCATTTTTGTACTTTACGTCAACAAATTTGCAAGAGAACAGAGGAAGAAACAAAAACATAGGAAGCCAAATAGACGAAGAGTGCTAGCACAGAAAACAGGGGATTATATTTGGGAATGTGGTCAACGACATTGGTGGTTATGGATAACATAATGGAAGAGAAAGAACCCAATATAGCATGAACTTTATTTCTTTTTCCAAGCTCAAAAAATATGATAAACTCCTTCACTTACATGAATCTACTAAGGGTTTTGAAGTGTGTGATCTGAAAAACTCTGAGGTAGAAAAGAGGACTTTCCTTCACCTTTTGTCGACCTTTCCTTTTCGTTCCTGTTGCAGAGAGAGAAAGAGAGAGAAGTTGAATGGGGTTCGATATGCGTATGGATTTGACTCTTTGTATTGGTTGGTGGCGAAGAAGAGACACTGTAAGTTTGGGGGCGTTCCTCGGAAAAGCAAAAAGGGGCAGTTTGTTCTGTATTTATACACCGATGGAGAGAGAGAGAGAGAGAGAAGGAAAGGACAATGGGGTCTAAAAAAAGCTTGACAGGGCCATTAAGGTCATAGAAGTTACTGTGGCCACTGTCCAAATGTAACTGAAAGCACTTAGTTTTATGTGCATATATCTAGCCTGTTTTGTTTTACTACAGTACAAGGTTCACTGCTGTTATACACTTCGTAGTTTTACGATGTTATTTAGGAGCCTTAGCATTTTTCTCATGTTTTTGTCGACCAATAAATTTTTTAATTTACTAATTCGATCCAATATTATGGTTTAATTTAGGAAAATTTACGCCCACATCCTTTCTAATTTATCATATCTTTAAAAAAAACTCATCAATTATCAAAAATATCACTGAAATCCCTTTTAATTTATATTTAATTATTTAAACATCACTGATCTTATCTGTCATTAAACCACCATTTATAATAAAAATACACTATCTAAAATACCAAAATTGTCCCTATGTAAACTCGAAACAATTTTTTTACATAAAATTTGATTAAAAATCAGAATGATTAAAATTCATTTTTTTAAATATTAAAATACACCGTTTATAATTTTTTTTCTAGATATTAAAATTTGATTCAAGTTAATTAAATTTAATTTTTTTGACGTATTAAAATTTGAGCCTATTAAAAGTTTTTTACGTACTAAAATTTGAGTTGTTAGTCCCGATTAAAATTTGTTTTGAATCAATTAAAATTTATATTTTTTTATTTAATAAAATTTCTAAGTTGAACTAATTTTAAATAATAAATGCATAATTTTAAACCCAGTTAATTTTTTTATATTTTTTTGTGTCAAAAATTAGACCGATTAAAATTTAATGCAAATTGATTAAAATTTGATGTAAGCTTCGAATAAAATTTTAATCGACTCAAATTTTAATAGGTAAAAAAATATAATTTTGAATTAACTAATATTTAAATGTATAAAATTAGCTCAAATCAAATTTTAATACATGCAAAAATTTAAAACACAGAGGAGGTCTTACTAGAGATATGTCTATCTAGAAGGTGTGTGGATGAAATTTTTTTAAAAATAAATCATCAAAAATTTAATAAAATTACATCCTAATTAACATATTTTATCTGACAAGGGATACCATTGAAGATTCAAAAAATATAAGAGGTGTCTTTGAAGATATGATAAACTAAAAAAAGTGTGACTAAAATATTAATTCTCTTTAATTTTTAATCGAATCCATGTAATATTAGAAAATTGACAGCTATGATATATTAGATCATTAAATTAGGTCTAAATAACATTATTTTTTTTTTGAAGACACATCACACCTGCTTAGGCTTAGGCTAATGGCAAAACTTAGGCTTATTAACGCTAGTAATCCAATTAGACATACTAACAACGAATAGCTTGTATAATGTGAGAAATACTAGTAACAATAATGTTAAATGAAAAAAAATACAACTTTTCAAGCTCAAACAGAACAAGTAAAACTCCAAAAATAACTAAAATTTAGATAATCAAAGACAAAAATCATACTCTGACATAATATATTCAGATGTTTTTAAAATAATTTTTTCTTATAGTGATACTCTAAATATAGATATCGTTGTAGTAACTTGTATAAATGTTTTATAATTTTTTTTCATTTTCCAATCTTTCCCATCTTTTTTGTCCACTCTTTGAATTTTCCTCCATTCTCTCTCTCTCTCTCTCCAAGAGTTCCAACAAATGCATAAAATATGTTAAATAATATTTTAAAAAAATAATTAAAATATACAAAAATATGTTATTGAAAAAGTGAGTAGATAAAATAAAAAATATATATTTTTGAATTACTAACATACAAAATTCTGTTGAAGATACCCTAATAATCATATCAAAATAAGAGAAGTGGAAATTTTATTTCCTAAAAATGATAAGAAATATGGTATAACTCAATATATGCCCCAAGACCACTCAGGCACATACTCTAAGGAAGAGCAGTGTTACATTTGCCTCTTAATCTAAAAGAAACACCCATAATACAAAGCTGAACACTTGCCCATTAAGGAAACAACAACATGATTCAAGGGAAAAAAAAAAAAAAAAGAAGAAATAGAAGTCACTCATAGAATATGGAAATTAATTATTTTCTCACAGCCAACACATACTGTTGAGTAGTCCCTATGAAGCAAGACTACTTTGTTAAAATTGACATACCTGTATCTGATACCGTATCTAATACGATACTTGTCGGATATTCAAAGATATGTATCGGATACACCTTCTACGTATCCGATAATAATTAAATATTAGGATACTTCACAAATACTTTTGTGATTGAATAACATATATAATTTTTGAGTGGAACTGTTGACATCTCTTTTCGAATTCACATATCATACAATACATTAACAAAAAATCTATATTACTTCAAAGGTTAAATATTATTTACAATTACATGTCAAAAGAGCATAAAATAAAACTATTACATTATTATCTTAACAAAAATTATTTATAAATACTAAGTAAATATTAGTTTTGATTCCTTTAATTAGTCACTTCACTTTGTGAATATACTACAGTGATACGATATATATCGTCGTATCCGTATCCAAGCTTCGTATGGTAGTCCATTTTATTTAGGTGAAAATGAGCTANGTGATACGATATATATCGTTGTATCCGTATCCAAGCTTCGTATGGTAGTCCATTTTATTTAGGTGAAAATGAGCTAAGCAATTAGAAAAAACCCTTCACTTTTGACTAAGCACTCTTGACTATCTGAGGTAATTAAATGCAGCAAGACCATTAATATTATTGGTGAAGTTTCCTCAAGACCAAAGAAATGAGTTTGAATTTTGATGTTGGATTTAGAGTGATGATAATTGTATACCCATCTGATTAAGTCAAACATCGTAGATTTAAATTTGAACTTTAGTATTTCGAAAATGTGAAAGTAAATTTTACTATTTCT